CACCTGGTATATTTGCAACATGAATTATGTTGAAGGCAGAGCCTACAATTTAGATAAATAAAATCAAGCCAGTATTGAATTTTTCCCAACCTATACGAAGGTATCCTTGGCAGCTCCTGGGCTATCTATTATGATCCTGACCAATTTCTCTCTATAGCAATTTAAAAGCTGTAAAAAAAAATACATAATGGTTGATGACAGGAGAAACAAACCCACACCAGAAGTTATTGAACCTTGCAGATCTTTGCAAGTGTGTCTCTATTGACATTTAAGTGTGAGTTACTATGCCACAATATCATAAAAGTGTACTCTATACTTCAGATATATTGATACTGAAATGCAAAGAAAGGCCACCATCAGATAAACGGCTCCAAGGATGGCCAATCTCAGACCACCCAGTTCTTCAACTCAATGTTTTGACGTGTTACTTAAGAAAAGGAGAATTTTTCTATCTTCTTTTTGTCTAGTTTTCAACTACATTCCCAATTCAAATCCTATGCCAAAATAATGATTCATATAGTAACTCTGATCCTTGCCCTAAAATTGTGTGGTTGGCTATGGGATATTTACTAGCATTAAGCACTGTATTGGCACCGACTCTATTCTAGTGTCAAGTGAAGGGCTAAGGACATTAAGTTCCTTCTTGGTTAAGTCAGCACTAGTCTGGCCGTCTCTGAAGACTGTTACAGAAAAGCTACAACAATGCCAACTTGTGAAAACAGTTGGGTATTTCAGGACTAAGAGTAAACAGATGTGTGCCTACCATAACTAGATCACCAAAGAGTTAAACCTTACAGTTCATATAACTTCCAACTTTAATGGCCTTATCTGCTCCACTTATCTCAAATCTACTAGGGAAAAAGAACTAGAAATCACTTTGAAAAATTAAAAGTTGGGCCTGGTGCAAGGGTGTAGCGGTTAAAGTCCTCGTCCTGAACCCGCCGGGATCTCATATGGGTGCCAGTTCTAATCCTGGCTGCTCCACTTCCCATCCAGCTCCCTGCTTGTGGCCTGGGAAAGCAGGAGAGGATGGCCCAAAACCTTGGGACCCTGCACCAGCATGGGAGACCTGTAGGAAGCTCCTGGCTTTGTACTGGCTCAGCGCCAGCTGTTGTGGCTGCTTGGGGAGTGAACCATCGGAAGAAGATTTTCCTGTCTCTCCTCCTCTCTGTATTTCTTCCTTTCCAATAAAAATAAATAAATCTTAAAAAAAAAAAGATAAATTAAATGTTTAAGTTTAATGTTTGATATTGGATGAAATGAAAAACAATGAATACTTAGGTGTTTTCAATTTTTCTGGAAGTCTGTATAGAAATATTCAGGATTTCTTCCTTAAGGATTTGCTAAAATTCACCAGGGAAGCTACCTGGGACTGTTGTTTTCTTTGTGGGATAGTTTTTAACCACAAATTTCACTTCCTTAATATATACAAAATTAATGGGTTCCATATTTAAGTGAGATTTCAAGACACGTAGCATAATTTTTCATAGTATTTCTTTATGACTTTTACAATGTCTGTAGATCAGCAACCCTTATTTCTTTACAGTCATTTGTAACTATTTCTCCCAATATATCAATTTCTGGGATCAGCTGTCAGGTGTCTGATACAGCAGAACTGCTGCTTAGGACGCCTGCATCCCACACTGGGGTCTCTGGTTCGAGTCCCGAGTCCTCTGCTTCTGGCCCAGTTTCCAAATGTATACCACAGGAGCTAGCAGGTGATGGCTCAACTCCTTGGGCACCTGCCATCACATGGAGATGCAGATGGAGGCCTGGCTACTGCAGCCATTTGGGGAATAAACCTGCAAGTAGATCTCTGATCTTCAAGTCAAATTAATATAGCTTTAAAAAAGTTGTAAGGGGCCGATGTTGTGGAGCACCAGGCAGAGCTACTTGCAATCAAGCTCCCAGGTAATGTATTTTGGCAAAGTGTACCACAGACACACAAGTGGGAGACCCACATGGAGTTCCTAGCTCCTGGCTTTGGCCTGGCCCAGCCTATCGCCAGCATTTGGGACATGAACCAGCAGATGGAAAATCATCTCTTTAAAGGGGGGACAATTTTAAGAATTATTTGTATTGGAAAACCTGATACAAAGAGACAAGGAGAAAGAGACCCTCCGTCTACTGATTCACTACCCAAGCAACCACAATGGCTGCAGATGAGCTGATCTAAAGCCAGGAGCTTCTTGTGAGTCTTCCACGTGGGTGCAGGGACCCAAGGCTGCAGGCCATTCTCTGCTGTTTTCCCAGGACACAAGAGGGACCTGGCATGAGATGCTGGCACTTGCAAGAGAAGATTAGGCAACCAAGTCATCATGCCAGCTCCAAGGAAAGAAAAAAGGTTTTTTATCTTTAAAAAAGAAAAAAGTATTCATTTTTATTGGAAAGGCAGATATACACAGAGAAGGAGAGATAGAGAGGAAGATTATCCATTCGCTGATTCAACCCCCAAGTGGCCACAACGACTGGAGCTGAGCTGACCCAAAGCCAGGAGCCCTGAGTCTCTTCTGGATCTCCCACGCAGGTACAGGATCCCAAAGCTTTAGCCCATCCTCTGCGGCCCTCCCAGGCCACAAGCAGGGAATTGAATGGGAAGCGGTCACTAGGACACAAACCAGTGCCCGTATGGGATCCTGGCGCGTTCAAAGGCGAGGACTTTAGCCACTAGGCTATTGTGCTGAGCCCTAAGAAAAATTTTAAGCCAACTTTCAGTGTCACTGATTTTGTCTTATTTTCATTTTATATTTCATTAGTTACTGTTTGGATATTTGTTATTGCCTCCCTTCTACTTATTTTGGGTTTCATTTACTCTTTTAAAAGGTCCTTATAAACAGGACCATAAATCACTGATTTTGTATCTGCTTTTATACTAAATACTATCAGTTTCCCTCCAAGTACTGCCTTAACTGCATCCCTCACAAGTGTTACATCATGTTCTCATTTTCATTTGGTTCAAAATGCTTTCTAATTTTATGATTTCCTCTTTGGTCCAACTTACTTAGAAGTATAGTTCATAGTTTCTAAATATATGTGGGCTGTCTAGATGCCTTACCATATTGATTTCTAATTTAGTTGCACTACAGCCAGAAAACATAGCTCACACGATCGAATCCTTTTGAATTTGAGACTTGTTTTATGACCCAGAAGATGCGGGTAAATGTCCCACATGCACTTGAAAAGCCATTCTGCTGATGGTGTGAACTGTCCTATAAGTGTCATTATCAGGTTAGATGATGGTGTTGGTGAGGTCTTCCACTTCCTTATTGATTTTCTGCCTTGTTTATCAATTACTGGGAGAGGTATTGAAATTTTCAAATATAATCACAAGCATCTATTATTGCACTTAGATCTTTTAGCTATGTAAATATTTAGGATTGTTAGATCCTGTGGATGAAATGATGCCTTTATTAACCTCTGGGTGTTAACTCACTCAGTGATTTCTTAAGTCTGTTATGGAAAAAGAGCAAGAAAATACTTTGAAAAACACATAGGAAACAGAAGGTAAAATATTTAACAGCAGAGGAAGTTAAAAAACAACTTTAATGGATTTCCTGAATTATCTGCAAGTTTTATCTATGCCTGTCTCCAAATACTCATATAAATGAGGCTTGCCTATGTTTTATCAGATCTTTAGACATAATTTATTGTTGTGAAATACTGAACAAATTAGCAGTATATTAACCTCCACAACTCCCTGTGAGGTGAGTCTGATTTAGGGATGAGAAACAAGGCACATGGAGTTCAAGGATTTGCCTCAGAAAGCAAACTTACAGCTCCCAGCCTGTTAACTGACCTTTTTTAGCACGGGGCATTTTATTCCGACATAATTATGCCTGCTCGCTCAGATACGAGCTTGCCTTATTTTGAGAAACACAGATTACAATCAGAGAAATACTTCAATTCAATTTGGTTCCTCCTCTTCACGGAAGAAATAAATAATGAAGATGTTATAAAACTTGATCTTGAAGCAGTTCTTTCAAGTACATTATCTCAATCTCCTGCTTTCTAGCGTCCTCCCTTGTGAGGAATCACAATGGAACAGGCATCCAGTAAGTCTGGAGATTAAAATCGCATGTGAAAATTTTTCACTCCGTCCATGACCCAGTTTCAGGAAGTAAAAAAAAAATCTGTGTTTAATTTGGATGAACTATTATTACCGGAAGAGGAAATCTAGACTATACAATCCTCAGCCTCACTAGGAAGAGAAGGAAAACAACTCGGGAAGTCCACTACCTGCTGCGTAGAAAATCTTTTCTTCAAAAAGGTTTAAGCACAATTAGTAAGGACTGGTTCCTATTTCCATGTCAGTACCCAGTATCCTCAACAGCTGACACTCAGCCTACACCTCAGTCTCTGGGCCTTGAGGTCTTTACCATCACCACCATGAGGTTTGCCCAAAATATTAGAATACATTTTTTTTTTCCCACCACATTTTAAACCATGGGCTTAAAAGATTCAAGGTGATGTAAAAGTCACTTCCTAAAAGCCTTAGGTCATAGAAAGCTGTATGCCAGCACTTCCCTAACTCCTTTAAGATGAAGCAGCTACAGCCCAAACAAGGTAATATCCCTTTGGTTTACGGCAGAAGCATGACTACAACTCAGCTTTTTTAGTCTTATTTTTCATTTACCTCTTAAAAAAAAAGTCCTAACTAAAACTTAAGGGCCCAGTGCTGTGTTCTAGCAGGTTGACTCGCCAGCTGCATCCCAGTTGGATTCCTAGCTGTTCCCCTTTTGATCCAGCTCCCTTTCTGCTAATGCTTCATGCACCGTGTACTTGAGTCCTTTTACCCATATGGGAGACCCAGATGGAGTTCCAGATCTATTTCTTCCCTTCCATACCTTTGCTTTTAAATAAATAAATCTTTCAAAAAAGAACCTGAGTTTTTCTGGAGTAAGTCCAGTTTACCTGAAGTTTGGCGAGTCAGGGTGTAAGTAACCTGAACAGTGGCCCCCAATTCAGATGTGCATCAAACCCCTGAGACAGATGAGCATTACCTTAGACTAGAAACAGCAAAACACGCTGGCCGAGACAAGATACACAAGAGAACTCAATCCTGGGCCATCCAAGCCGACCCTAAGGGAGAGCACGCGTGCTTTCAGGAGCCAGGCAGAGCGAGCTCTAAAACGCAGAAAGGTGGAAACACAACAGGGCCATGAGGTCACGAGCTAAGACAAACTGTGCACCACCGGGGTCCCCAAGGGCTGAGGAGGAGCCCTGGACCCCTCCACACTCCCACTGCAAACCACTGTTTGTGCTACTTTGCTATGGCAGCCACAGGAAATACAATCTAAAACTCCTAGGGAGTAGGTGCTTTCCCACTAGTCAGGATTCCCATTTCCCTCGCTGGAGGGCCTGAGTGGGACACCTGGACGCCAGCTCCTCCCGCCAGATTCCCAACGCGATTCCATGCGGTAGCAGTCAAGGCCCAAGTTCCTGCCGCCCACCAAGGACACCTGGACTGACTCCTGAAGTCCTGTTGGCCCCTGCAAGCAGTGATTGTCTCAAAAAATAAGTAACACAAACTGAACAAACATAAAACCACTTCCAGGTCCAGAAAAAAAAATGTGCTTGACGTAACCCTAGGAAATACCTGCAACTTCGTGTATCATTTCAAAGGGTAAACTGAGGCAACCACAGGACATTATAATTTACCCAAATATAAACTGGCAGACCTGAGAAGGCAAACCCAGAAAGGTCTAATATTTACATAGTTGCTCCCAAGAGCAGTGTAGGTTTTTCCACAAACACTCTAGCTGGTGGAGCTCATGGACAGACTAAACATAGGCAGCAGTTGTCACTGTGGGTGTTCTGCCAGCACAAGTGTAAAGTTGTCATCAGAAATGAATATGTGGCTTCAAGTGGCCTACAAAAATCCAACAAAGCTGCATCTTGGTCTCTGCTCAAGCCAAGCTGCTCAGGGCGACCTGGAATCCTTCCTATTCGCACCATGATTAGTTAAAGTCATCCTCAGTAAGCAAGGCAAGAAAAGCAAAGTTTGTCAGAGAAAACAGATGAATGCCCAGAATCCAAGTTCATGAATAATGATGTGTATAAGTAATCATACTAAGTCAAAAGGTATTCCCGCTAATTTATTGCTTTTAACATCCATTATTTATAGCACAGCTTTAGGTCCAATCTCATGCAAAGTGAATGGAAATAAAAACACCAGGTGAAAGAACAAGTCAGGGGGAGTTACTTAATACCTCAACCAACACAGAGCAGACTCCCTAGTGTGCCTCAGGGACCTTTGCACCCTGGCTACCGAAGCTTTTTCTTTTTTCAGAGTATTCTCAAGGGCTCTGAGGCCCCCTAGACTTAGAATGAGCCAGTCATTTCAGATGTAAGCTTTTCTTCTCTCCCCAGTTATCACCCTGCTCACCCAGCATTTAATCACAGCTAGCTAGTCATCAGTTTCCAGGAAGACTGGTGAAGGTGTGACATTGCCCCTGTCTGTGAACACCACGTTTTGCTTTAGTCACTGTAGCACTGCTCCAACATGGAGCACAAGGGCCTTCACTTTCCAACAGCTGCTCTGTATGTAGACCAAAACAGATTCTCCAAAGGAAAAACTTAAAACTCAAAGTTTTTAATATTTTCCATGTGACAGTCTCAGAATTTCAACGAAAAAAAAAAATCCACTAAAGTGACACCAGCAGAGGGAGTGTCTCTCACAACGGAATAGACCTCACAATACAAAATTTCCAACTCTAAGTTTTGGTTTAGGTCTGTAAGTCTTTTCAAGTAAAAGCGCATCAGTCCAGCACCTAATAAAGGGTCATCAACAATCTGTTCAGGAACCCAGGCGGCTGGGGCTGGAGCCGGGAGGAATCTCCTCCAGAGGAAGTCGCAGGGAGTTGATCTGGGTGTCCAAGACTTCTGATCAATTGCTTCACACCCCTTTCCCCACCCAGGTACCTAGGTAACCAGTCTGTAAGCTGCTGGGGAAATCTATTCGGTGGCAACTGACTTGAGACAATGCAATCAGACATCATATATCAGAAGATGATGGGAATGCCTGCTACCTCTGTTTAGTTAAACTACGCATGTTCAAAGTCAGTATAAAATGTATTTCTTCATGAGGATCATGGTTAACGGCTTGGACCCATTCACCTGAAAGAACACAAGGAAAGAGGCTGAACTATTTGAAAATTGTTAGCAGGCACTGAGGACAATTTACCTCCTTAAAAAAAAAACACGCATCTGTCATTACTTTAGGGAGCCAAACATAAGATGCAACCTCGCATTAATTAAACCGCAAGAAATACTGAGAATTCTAAGGAAAGAATGTTTTTATCAGAAGGAACAATGATCCAATTGTGTCTGAAGAGTTAAGCGACAGGATTTAATAATCCATTCACCAAAGTGCACTCCCTAAACACTCCATACACTTTCACCTAACTTCCAATGGGTAACACAGAAGACTTGGAAAAAGTCAGCTGTAGCCTCCGTCATTTCAGATCAGGCCTTCACCTGAGATCCTGGTGCCGCTGGACCAGGTGGCAACAGCAGGTATGGGAGAGGTGAGGTGCTGGCACCTAGTGGGTAGAGGCCAAACATCGCAAGGCCTGGGGCAACCTCCACCCCCTCCGGAACAGAATTCTTTGGCTCAAAATGCCCATAGCGCTGAGGCTGAGAAACTCTGCTTTACATTAACATTGTATCCCTCTGAAGCCTAAATAAATCCAGGATACCCTTAGCCCATACTGTTTTGGTTCTTAGCTCAGCACTGCACTTCCACCACTTCCACAAAAGGTTTATAACCAGGTGCAAACTGCAGATTTGTCCTTTAGCAAGTAGCACAGAACAAGGAAATTACCCCCTGTTCCTTACGAGCTTCGTTAAGATCACTTGTCTTCATATTAAAAACCCTCCAAGCACAAGTGTACCTCATTTGTGGTTGATTTTATGAATTTAAACACTTGTTCAATAAATCAGTGACCAATAAACCTATAATGATGTAGTTAATATGTAATGAAAACTTTTACCAACAGGAGACAGATTGCAGGCCAAAAACACTTGGAGGGAAATCTAATCAAAAGGCAATGAGTACTCCAGGTGATGGATGGTGTCTTGTCTGCAACACCCTAAGATATTACCTCCTTCCGCAGCCTTTCTTTTTTTTAACCCTAAGTGGGACATCCTGGAGGGCACAGCACAAAGGAACAGAGTCAACTTGTAATGGTGTAAGGAAAGGTACATACGGGAGAAAAGATCTCAGGAGCGTTGTGACAAGAGAAAGCAAGGCCGGTGAGAAGTCTAAGGTTACCAAAAGAAACACACACGACAGACCGCTGCCTTCATTTTTTATTACTGAATTTTCATTACAAATGCTCAGCCGTATGATGATGTGAACACGAGTCTGCCTCGTTCCCAAGAGTGTCTGCACAAGTTACCACGCTGGAATCGGCAGGTTGCCCAAACTTTGCTAGGGACCTACAAACACCTTTCCGAAAGTAGATGAGGGGCAGCGTGATGTCTCTGTTTCGCAGGTGCCTTTCTTTAACAGTATACTCTAATTTATATTCTTATTACCTAGGTGCAACGAGTTCGAAGTAAAAAAAAAAAAAAAAATCAAAACCAAAAAACTCTGCAAACCCCGTGCGGATGGCGGGAAGGGATGGAAAGCACACTCGAGGCAGAGAAGGGGGGACATTTGCGCTTCGTCCACCGAGCAAGCAGGCGTGCGGGGTGGGGGTGGGGGGACTGTGGGTCGAGATGCACCACCCATACGCCCTCACGGACTCGGAGTCCTCTTCCCTTGTCCCCCTCAGCACCCCTCAGATCGCAGGACGCCCGGCTGAGCGAGCGAGTCCCCGGGGCTGCCCGCCGACTGGAGCCAGGTTTGCTCCGGCCGCTAAACCGGCCCAACTCCCGCCTTCTCCGCCGGAGTAGCACCGCGGTCCCGAGGAGAGGCCCAACCTCCCGCGCGCTCTGCGCCCATTGGCTCGGCGAGACGCTGCTCAGCACGACAAAGCCCGCCTCCTGTACCCCGAAGGCCCAAGGGCCGAACAGTCGGCGGCTCCGGGCGGACACAATTGGCCCAGACGCCCGCCAGTCTAACTCTAGAGCGGCCCGGCCCCAAAGAGCCTTCGGGGACGAGGACGTCCCGCCCCTCCTCTTCTATTGGTTGGCCCAACCCACCGCGGCCCCTGGACTGTTCACCCCCCCCAAACCCGCGGTCCATTCATTTCACACAATAACGGGCCCAACTGGAGCCGGTTCGAGACCTTAGACGGGTAGACAAGACTCTCTGCCACTTACCCGGGATCGAGAGGGCTCACACACACTAACGTCTGCCCCTTTCCTCTTGTGGTGAGGCCGCAGCACAAGCCACCGCTGCCGCTGCCTTCTGCGCAACGCCAACCGCCCGCCAAAACGGATCCTTCCCTGCGCCTGCGCAACCAATCCTGGGCCCGGACCCTTTCTCCGCCCACAACGCCTGCGCAAAACAGCGCACGACTCCCGCCACTACGCAGGCGCCGTAGGTTAACCGCCTTTCTCCCGCCCGCCATTTCACGTGTTTCGAGCTGCAGGCGGAACTTTCCAATGCGCAGGCGCGAGCTCGCCATTTTACTACCCATGAGCTCAACAGGCGGTTGTGGCGAAAAAAATTGTCAAATACAATGCTTTTCTGCCCTGTAGTATTAACTACGCGTCACCAAGCGAGTATGATATCATATTTAGGCGAGAAAAAATTAAAAAAAACTTTCAAGCATCCCCAAGAACGTTCAAATCTGACTGATTGGTAGGCTAGCCAATCAGAATAGTTGAGAATAAAATTACTCGGGAGCCAATGGCCTCTGAGGGGTGGAGCCAACGCAGACCGCCCAGACGGTGACGTGCTCAGGGAAAGGCAACCGCATCCACCAATAGGAAGGGGAAGAGATTACAACGGTCCAATCGGAGGCGGCCGGAGGCGGGGCCTGCCAATGTCGAAGGCGCGGAGGCGGGATAAAAAAGCGAGGCCGGAGGTAGGCAGGCGGATCCGTTGGCTGGCTTGCTCCTTTCCGCTCGTGGACGCCGCCGAGGCAGCATCTCGCTCGCTCGTCTGCTCACACCGTCATCATGTCCAAGTCGGAGGTGAGTCCGGCGCTCGCGCGGACGGGCGCGAACGGCTCCTTGGGCTCCCGGGCAGGGCAAGGAAGGGTCCCGAATCTCGCCGCGGGAGCTCGGGCGCGGGCGGGCCCGTCGGAGGCCGAGGCCTACTCCTCCCCGGACGCCCGGTCGCCATCTTGTCGTCTCGGGCGCCATGAGGCTGCCGGCCGCCTGGCGCGCGCTGGGTAGGCCGGGCGGGCTGGTGTGACGGATGGGTCGGCCGCACGGCGCCGGGCGCTCACTGGACCCCGGGGAGCGGGCCCGGTTCCTGGGCCCCGGCCGCCTACCGCGCAGGCCTTTGTTACGCCAACGGGCCTCGCAGCCGGCGCCGCACGCGGCCCCGGGGCGCTAACGAACAAAGCGCGGAGATGCGAGATCTCCAATGATTTCCTTTGCCTCGATAAAGTAACGAAACTTTGCCCTTGCCCTCTAGTCTCCCAAGGAACCCGAACAGCTGCGGAAGCTCTTCATCGGAGGCCTGAGCTTCGAAACGACCGACGAGAGCCTGCGGAGCCATTTTGAGCAATGGGGAACGCTCACGGATTGTGTGGTAAGATGGGGGAGGGGCAAAAGGCGCCGAGACACGCGGCGTCCGGATGCTTTTAACATTTGTGAGGTTTGAAATCTAAGCCGATGGGAAGAGGAGAGAAAAAACTGGGGACGTACTGTTTAATGTTCTCAGGTGATGAGAGACCCGAACACCAAGCGCTCCAGGGGCTTTGGATTTGTCACCTACGCCACCGTGCAGGAGGTGGATGCGGCCATGAACGCAAGGCCACATAAGGTGGACGGCAGAGTGGTGGAACCAAAGAGGGCTGTCTCCAGAGAAGTAAGTGGTTTTCCGGCTTCCTGTTCTGTCGGGCTGCTGACGGACTTCAGATTTGGTTTGGGCACACTCGGCTTTCTCATGTGCTGAATCTGGGTGTCCGCACAAGGTTGTGTTATTCGGGATAACTTGTGGTTTTCCACTTCAGGATTCTCAAAGACCTGGTGCCCATCTCACTGTGAAGAAAATCTTTGTGGGGGGTATTAAAGAAGACACTGAAGAGCACCACCTCCGAGATTACTTTGAGCAGTATGGGAAAATCGAAGTGATTGAGATCATGACCGATCGAGGAAGTGGCAGGAAGAGGGGCTTCGCTTTTGTGACCTTTGATGACCACGATTCAGTGGACAAGATTGTCAGTAAGTGTCAAAAGCCTGGGATTTAGTAGGGATTCCAAAAGGCAAATGGTGGCGAGTCATCTGAGACCATGCTGTCTTTTCAAACTTAGTTCAGAAATACCATACTGTGAATGGTCACAACTGTGAAGTCAGGAAGGCCCTGTCCAAACAGGAGATGGCCAGCGCTTCTTCTACCCAACGAGGTATGTTTGTTGTTCAGTTGAAATTTTGAGGTGCTGTAGTTATTCCAATCTGTATGATTTAACACTTGTGTCTCAAGGTCGTAGCGGTTCTGGAAACTTTGGTGGTGGCCGTGGAGGTGGCTTTGGTGGCAATGACAACTTTGGCCGAGGAGGAAACTTCAGTGGTCGTGGTATGTATGATGAACTAAGTTTAACCAACTGCAGTGAACATAAAATTTCACGAACCTAGATGTTTTGCCCCTTAAGTAGCTGTAAAAAATAGCTAAATATATCAATTTTAATTTTACATTTACTTAATTCTTAACTCTGGCATGTAACTAAGCAGAAACCATTTTGGTGAGCAAAGTATTTACAGTGCAGAGTGTAATGTACAATCCAGATAGTTTCACCATAGCTTAAATTTGCTGTCTTCCAGGTGGCTTTGGTGGCAGCCGAGGTGGTGGTGGTTATGGTGGCAGTGGGGATGGTTACAATGGATTTGGTAACGATGGTAAGTCTCTTAAGGAGTACGTAAATAGAAATGTTCCCTGTGTTCATAGAAACTAGTGCATGATGAGCTCAATTCAACCCACATTAAGCATGCTTTGTGCAGGCCTTTAGCCGTTACACTTGCAGATTTTTGTTGTTCAATACTTTTGTCTTATTGAGAAGAATTGTATTCTTATAGGTGGTTATGGAGGAGGCGGCCCTGGTTACTCTGGAGGAAGCAGAGGCTATGGAAGTGGTGGACAGGGTTATGGAAACCAGGGCAGTGGCTATGGCGGGAGTGGCAGCTATGACAGCTATAACAACGGCGGAGGCGGCTTTGGCGGTGGTAGTGGTAGGTATCGAGTGATCCAAGTATTTGGTATGATAGCTAGAATAGCCTTCTAGCTTTCTAATGCCCATATTGCAATTTGGAGCTCTTAAAGCATTGTGTGGTACACTGCATGGTACGTTAAAAAAAATGAGCTTGCTGTGCTACCTCCGAGCTTTAAACTGGGGCCGCCTCACTCCAGAATAAGTAGATAAGTGGGTAGTGGTGTCTGTAATCTTAGTGGAGCATCTTGGCAGGACTTAGTCCGGGCAACTCCTTCGGGACCTTAGGCACTTAGTTGATGCATCCAAACACTGCAGTGGCTTGTGGGCGTAATAGGCCCTCGAGACTGGAGTGTATGCCACTAGGTACTTAAAAGTTGCAGTAAACTGGGTTGCTTTCTAATTCTAAAAATTACTGGATTATTCAACTGAATGCCTTGTCCAGAAAGTAAAGTGGCAGATATGGAGCCACTAGAGTGGGAGGGAGCAGGCAAATAATATAATCCTTCATGCAGAACACTGAGCAGTTGGGTTCTCTCGGTCAACTTCTCCAGTAACACACAAAGGCCATCTTTCTGTTCCTTAGGAAGCAACTTTGGAGGTGGTGGAAGCTACAATGACTTTGGCAGTTACAATAATCAGTCATCAAATTTTGGACCCATGAAGGGTGGAAACTTTGGGGGCAGAAGCTCTGGCCCCTATGGTGGTGGCGGCCAATATTTTGCTAAACCACGAAACCAAGGTATGATTTGGGAGTTTGCAAGGGGCTCGTTCACTTGAACTGCTGTACCTTAAATACAGCATTACTTGACGTGAGGAAGGTTTTTTAAAAAAAATGACCCACTCTTGTTCCTAGGTGGCTATGGTGGCTCCAGCAGCAGCAGTAGCTATGGCAGTGGCAGAAGATTTTAATGACTGCCAGGTAAGTACACACCTTTTTTTTTTGTAATTTAGATTTTGTGATTTGCTCAAACCCTGTAACCCTAATATAGCTGAGCAGTGTGGCATAGTTAACATTATAATCTTGCAGTAAAATTATGGGTATTAAGCTCAGATAATTTGGTAATTCAGTTGAGCAAAATTTGTGGGAAAAATTTGAATATTGGATTGTAGCCTTGAGTGTTAATATGTTTAGATTAACAACTTTATTCCATATTGTTCAACAGGAAACAAAGCTTAGCAGGAGAGGAGAGCCAGAGAAGTGACAGGGAAGCTACAGGTTACAACAGATTTGTGAACTCAGCCAAGCACAGTGGTGGCAGGGCCTAGCTGCTACAAAGAAGACATGTTTTAGACAATACTCATGTGTATGGGCAAAAAAAACTCGAGGACTGTATTTGTGACTAATTGTATAACAGGTTATTTTAGTTTCTGTTCTGTGGAAAGTGTAAAGCATTCCAACAAAGGGTTTTAAATGTAGTTTTTCTTTATTTTTTTTTTTTTTTGCACCCATGCTGTTGATTGCTAAATGTGATAGTCTGATCATGACGCTGAATAAATGTCTTTTTTTTAAATGTGCTGTGTAAAGTTAGTCTACTCTGAAGCCATCTTGGTAACTTCCCCCAAAAATGTAAAGTCAGAATTCATCAGGGTGATGCCAGGTTCCAATTGGAACCTTTACACATTGCTTGGGTGGAGAAGCCGTTGTCCTCATCCTGACAGTTTTCTGTTGTGATTTCCTGAAGCTAACCATTAAGAGCCACCCAAGCAGTCTCGGGATTATTTGGTTATAAAAGTGATTGTTGGCACATCCTTTGCAATATATCTAAATTTGAATAATGGTACCAGATAAAAGTACAGATGGAATGAAGCTGTGTATCATCCATTATCATGTGTAATCAATAAACGATTTAACTCTCGAGTGCAATGACAACTGTATGGATTTGGGACTGGCAGAGATTTGGACTTTTCCCCTACCCACTACCCCTGATAATGTTGAATGCTTCTACCCCCAATGCAAGTTCAAAACTCTGCCAGATAATAGAAGCCAAATGCCGGCCAATCCCACCCCACTAAGTCCACAGACCAGACATTGCTTAAAATGACCAATACCAGTAAGAACATAACAGGTTCATGTTAAAGGAAAACTGCAGTATTGGGTCATGGGTGGTGGGTGTATTGTATGTGTATTTGTGTTAAGCATAGTAACTGGTGGGAGTTTATAATCAAACCATAGGGGTGATGAGCCATGTGTTTTCTATGAATTGATGTCAACTGCAGTTTTCCTTTAAATCTGATACAAGATCACACAACCACCTGAAAAGTGTTGATTGTATAGAAAATGTTTTCTAAACCTTTAATACTAAACTTACCCAATAATTGTTATTTGTACATAGGTTCTTTCAAGCATTTGCGTTTGGTACCCTCTTAATTTCAGTGCCATTGTATCTAGTAGCATAGATGTTTGTTGAATTGTAGGACTGTATATGCCATCCCATGGGGTGTGTTGGAATTTGGGGGAGGAGGTGGAGTGGGAGGCGGTGGGAGGGAGGGGTGGTGGTGGTTGGGAGAGCATGGACCATAGTTCCATGATACTGGCTGAGTTTGCAATGGCAGGTGGAACCTTTAACTGTTGAGGGAGTTTGCAGATACCTCAGGATTCCTGACAATGCCTTTAAAGACCCAAGAGAGATGTTCAGCTACTAGGAACTGCTAGCAAGCATAGCGCGAATGGCTCCAAGCTCAGACTCTGCAGCTGAGAGTAGACACTTGTGGTATGTGGAGTACAGATCAGCCAGGGACAGGCCACGGCACCTTCCTTGACAGCTAGGAGGAAGTGAAGTTTGAGTGACCATCGCCAGGAAGGAGGCAGACGAGAGTAAGGCACACCTGACTCTTAGGACTAGCAGGCAGAACCAGAAGGAAAGGTTTTTTTGCTATGCTGGTAGGTAAGAACAGATTTTACTTACATCCATAAAGTTAACCTAAAATCTAGCATTGTTAAATTTTCTTTAATATATTGAGCCAAAACTAGTCCAGTTAAGCTTAATCTGGTTTTTCTGGAGATTAATTACAAAAAAGCCATTTTTAATTCAGACCATATGGGTGGCTCCCAATTGAAGCAAGCAATTAATTCTTAACTGATTATCCTTGCCCTTTAATTTTATTGCCCTTGTACCCATTTCTTTGAAATAATGGCTCAACTTAATATATTGGAATTTTCCCGAAATGGGGGGGGTGGTTGGGTGGACCACTAGAGGGTGGTGGGTGGTCTAGTTTGAGGTGGGACTTGGTCTCTAAAGGGCTAGTTCTAAAGGTTGTTTACTTTTCTAGGGAAGAATCTGCTACACGCTTATCACCTTATTTAAAATAAAAACAAAACAGAAACTCCTGTCCATGGCTAGAAAGGTAAGTTTCAGCCAAGAGTGTTTCCAAAGAATTGACGCCAGGAATGCAGGAGATCAGACATTGGGAAGTGTTTGGTCCACTTTGGTATGGCCAACAAAGTTAGAGCAACAGGCATCCAGTAGTGGCAGGTAACCAATGGGAGGAGGATCCTGCTGGGTCTGCTTCACCACCTCTTTTTCCTTTTGCAGGAATATCCTTGTGAGGACAACCTTTTTCTCAGCCACTACATATATTCTCACTGCTTTGCAGTTGATAGTAGCTGTTGTACAGCTGATCAATTGTTCCATTTTGTGAATGGACTTTACAAATAAACTTTTATTTACTTCATCTGCTTCCTGTTCATTCTTTTCTTGGGTGTCAGCCTTAACCTACCATGATGTAGGCAGTGTGACGTGGATTCGGCAAAATCAGATGTTGACTGCCAGGAGGGCCTAGGGACTGGTTAGGTGTGGTCACATAGTGTTGTGGCACATTCTTACACATGGCTTAAAGAATAGATGCACTGTATAGTACACCCTTGTACTAAGGACCACAAGAGGTCATTATTAGCTTAGGTTTCATGTGCCTGGTTTAGTGCCTTACACAAAACTGGGCAAATGTAAGATTTCAAAACCAAGTCCTTTGAAGTTCATATTTGATTAACCAGTTCATCCAAATTTATACTGCCTGCAGATCTGAACTTTAGAGTTGACGACAGGTAAACTTTTGGATTGCATTTGTGTGGATTACAAAAGTCTCAAAGCTATCCCTCAGAACAAGTGCCTGGGTCTTGATGTGGAATGAGGGTGAGGTCTCACATCCATTGATTGCTTCATCGGTTGTAAACCAAGGGCTGGGGAGGTGTATCAGGACATGAATTGGTGCTTGTGTGGATGCTAACACTGCCAGGTGGTACCTTGACAGACCACAGCATCTGCTCCTTGCCCCTGTACTTTACAACCTGCTATGTGGGGACGTTTGTGATCCCTTGAGACAAAGATGACGTTAAGCTGCGTGTGAATTCCTTGTCTTAGCTGGTTCATGGCCACAATGATCAGAGCTAAGCTGAAGCTAAGAGCCAGGGACCTTATTCATGGTCTCCCACATGGGTACAGCATCCCAAGGCTTTTGGCCATTGCTCTCACAGGCCACAAGAAGGAAGCTGGATGGGAAGTAGAACAGCTGGGACACAAGCTGGTACCCACATGGGATGCAACACAAGAAGATAGAGAATTTACTTGCTGAGCCATGGTGTTGGCTCCCAGTTTGTTAGGTCTTAGCATTTATGTTTGTGTCAACTTGGGAGTAAGAATTCCTGTGTGATGGTGCTACAAGGGCAGAGGTAAAGAATTTCAAGAGGGAAGCTGTGTTAAGTATTGTGCTTACCGGGAAGATTGGAAACGTCATTTGACAAGGGGATTCTAATAAAGCAAGGTGTGATTGGACTTCAGTTGGTATGCCTGAAGAACCTCAAGCTTGTCATGCATTGTGCTGCTGTGGATATGAGCAGATTAAAAGGCATACCTGTCAAGGTGGGAAAGGAGGGCCTGGCTAATAGAAGCAGTTTCTCAAAATATGTGTATGTTATTCCACCGTGGGATGTTTTACCAAACCTGTGGTGTGGCATGCTCATAAGCTTTGGTGTCTGACCAAATTCTCATTCTGGTGGAAAACAGTTTGCTTGGTTTCCTGAAAGCCCTGGCACCCCAAGCTCCAGACCGAGAAGTAAGCATGACCAGAGTGAAAAGGTCTGTAGACCCTTGCAGGCACCTTACATGTCTGTTGCAAGGAGATCTTACATAGAGGCATGTCGGTGGCTCTCCCAGCCCCTGACATGAAGGGTCTGCTTCTGAACCCTTAACTAAAGGGTATGAGTGGGGAGATCATGTCCTACTCAAGGTCATACTTCTGTGTATTTCATGAGAGCACTGAGGGGAAAGAATGAACTTGGCAGGATCCTACCCCCAGAACCCCAACCCAGCAGTGTTGTGAGGAGTATTCAGCTTTGGCAGTCATCCTGGGGAAGGCAGACACAGGAGGCTGTTTGTGCAGAGAGCTTTATAGACCAAAGCTTAAACAGGAGGTGGTAGCTTGAAGTGAGGGAAAGAGGCCCCATCCCAACCCTTCCACAAGGCAAGCCTCAGTGAGCACACTCTGGAGCACCAGTGGGGCTCCTGTGGTTGTCCTCATTGGACCTAGAGAAGTCTACTCTGGGTCCCAGAGACAGGGAGCACCTTTATCAGAAAACCACAAAGGAAATCATCCCAGGCCAGCTTAGTCTGTGGCCTCAGCCTTAGTCCCCCTGGGCATCAGGAAGACTGCCCCATCGGCATCATGCTGCAGTACATACTCTTCAGGGGAGTAGCTGTTGCCTGACTCATCCCGCAGGTGCTGGAAAATGTCCTGGTATAGCTCAGCCAGCTGTTGGCGCATGAGCTCCAGGGTCCGGTCCGTCTCCCCTCTGGCCCTGAGAAGCCGCTCTCTTTCGCTGCCCAGCCGCTGCAGCTCCCTCTCTAACTGCACAATGGTCTCCAGCTTTCTCTTGCGACAGTTCTGTGCGGCCACCTTATTCTTGCCCCTTCGGCGTATATCCCGGACCAGTGCCAGCTGGCTCTCCGTTAGTGGGTAGCGCGCCAACAGCTCGTTAAAGTCATCTACCGGCAAGTTGACAATCTTGTCCGTAGGGAAGGGGATCTTCATAGCCAGGGCCCGGCGCTCATCCCGGCTCCCGGCCTCCCCACGTGCAGTTGGCTTTGCCCGCACAGGACCTGAAGAGGGCTCTAGGGCCAAAGGGGCCTCGGTGGGTGGCAAGGTATAGCTGGGATGCGCCAAGGAATTGGGCATGAGTGAGTATGGGTACTCCACCGGGTACATCTCCACATACTCGCTGCGCCGACGGCCAGCCTCTGTCCCCTCCAGCTCAAGAGATTCGGCATCGCTGTAGTTGAGGGATAATCCCGAGTCGGATTCTGGATCTTCTAGGGGTTTGGGGGGGCCCACTGGCAGCCCAACGTCCAGGAGGGCTAAGGGGTCTGACAGTGGCTCATTGAGCAGGCCTGAGAGGGTCAGAGGCTTGGAGACTGGACCAGCCATGTTGCCATAGGAGTAGGGCTGTGGGACATGAGATGTAGATGCTGGGAGCTCGTAAGGTGGTGGAGGAAGGGAGAAGCCAGAATCCTGGTGGATGGAGCAGGGGCAGTAAGATGCAGGAGGCAGGGGTCCAGGGAATGGGGCTGGGGCTTGGGGCTCAAACGATGGCTCACTAGGAGCATTTAGACCCTGCAAAGAAAGATGTAAAGAGGAAATCAAGACAGGCTAAGGAAGTAAAACTGCTCCTCAGACAAAACTGCACTTCCAAAAGAGCCAATAACAAGGGAATGGGTGTCAAAAATCAACGAATGCTTCCTGCAAAGTTATGTTACAGCCACACAGGAATAGAAATGGCTTAAGCAAGAAGGCAAGTCACAAGGGGGTCAGACTTCAGAAAGGTCTACCTGATGCTGGAACAGTTCTTAGAGGCTGAAATAGCCCAGATACCTTTGTTTCCTTCTGCTGGGGGGCGACCAAGAGGGGGCAAGAAGAGGTGTTCCTTATCCTAGTTGACCCTTGCCCCAAGGCAGTTATCTGGAGTCAAAGGGTCAAGTGCAGACCCCAGCCACACCCTGGGTGCCCAGCAGAGGGAGCTGCAGCCTGGGAGGAGGGCCTAGGGCAGATCCTGAGGACTGCGGACCCAGTGACAGGGATAAGAGGGCGGGTGCAGAGCTGGGGCTCTGGGGCTGAGAAGCACCTTGGGGAACTGGCACAAGGTCTGCCCTCTCCTCTCAGTCCCTCTGTCCCTGCCAGGTGCAGCGAGGAGGGGAGAACATGTTGGAAACAAGGCCCCCAGCCCACATCAGGGAGCCACCCTGCTCCTATCCAGCTGGGGACAATGGCATCATTGTTAAGCCAACAGACACCCCTTTGTCCAACTAACAGGGGGAGAGGACCCCAGCATAGCCAGACTCCCCTTCCTGAGGCCCCTGAACTACTACCCTGCTACCTGGGAGAAAGGCTCCATTGCTAAGAGCAGGGAGAGGCCATGAGGGTAGAAGATAGGCTGGATTGGAGGGGGTGGAGCAAAAGGAAAGGAAAGAGTGAGGGAGAGCAGAGCAGGAGGGAGTGTGAGCAGCCTGGTTGCACACACTTGTGGTGCATACTCCATTCCATCCAAATCTCCCATGGAAACTTGGAACAGTTCCAAGCCTGGGTCCTGCCTTAGCGCAGGCCAGACTCCCCACTGTATTCAGCTCTGTCCCCTTGCCCCCTGCTCACCTGAAGTTCAGTGATGGACATAATCTCTTGCCAAGTCAGTTCCATCTCGCCCAACTCTGGAGTGGGCAGCTGTGGCAACCTGTTCCTGCTTTGCAGAGGGGGACACGGCATCCTACTGGGCCAGGGTCTGGTTCTCCTGAGCCCTAATGGCCCCAGCAACCTGTGTCAAAGGAAGAAAGATGTTAGAGAAACCCCTGCTGGGCTCAGCAGGTTTGTGCTTCCCCCATATCCCTCTTGGAAGTAGAGAGAACCCTCATCCAAGCTGGACTCAACCACCTAAGGCTGCAGTGTTTTTTGGTGGCAAGACTTCCACTTTGCCTGCCTCACGGAGGCTGTAGTCAGTTCCCATGGGAATTTTTACCCATAAGATTTTACCTTTTTTTTTTTTTTTTTTGGCAGGCAGAATGCCTTTCCTTCTTACTCCCCCAAACTGGATTTCTAACCAGGGCAAAATCAGCTCTTCTGGGAATTTTCTGGTTTAGCTTGGTTTTCTGGGGCCAACATCAGGGGGGCAGCCCTGCTTTCCTCCTCTGTCTTCAGTTACAACATCTCAGTCTCTTCTCTCCCAAAGGAGAGTGAGTTGCTTGCAGGAATCCCCAAGGCGTATGTTGTGGGAAGAGGCAAGCAGACAGCTTTCTCTAAAACGTGGCCCAGGCCTGGGTGTTGATAGCAGCCCTGCCCTCTCCTGCCTGGACCAGATAAGGAGCTTATCATGAGCTGCAGGCAGCAAGGGGCAGAGGAGGAATGGACTTAGGAGACACTGGACCTCTGCCTCAAGTCCCCACATGGTCATCTTGGCCATTCTGTCCCCACTCCAACCAACCCTTAGAGCCAGGATGCTTTCCTCTTGCAAAGTTAGCATAACAGTTGGGAATAGGGATGACAGAGTGTTTAGCACCAGGAGCTCTGGGAGAGCTAGTTTAGGAGCCTGGCTCTCCCAGAGATGCCATCCAGCCCATCACAGATGCCCCCCAGCTCCAAGCAGTGGCATGAAGTCAGAAACTTGCCTTGCTTTCTAGGTGCCTTCTAGGCCCACACCTGGATCTCCATGCTCCAAGCTCCTATTGACATTGATGATATCAACCCCTCTGATTTTTTATAAAAGATTTATTTATTTTTATTGGAAAGGCAAATTTTCAGACAGAAGGAGAGACAGAGAAAAGATCTTCCATTTGCTGGTTCACCCCAGAACTAGCCACAAGGGCTGGAGCTGAGCCCATCTGTAAGCCAGGAGCCAGGAGCTGCTTCTGGGTCTCCCACGTGGGTGCAGGGTCCCAAGGCTTTGGGATGTTCTAGACTGCTTTCCCAGGCCACAAGCAGGGAGCTGGATGGGAAGTGGAGCAGCTGAGATGCGAACCAATGCCCATATGAGATTTTGGTGCTGCAGGTGGAGGAATAGCTAATTGAGCCACCATGCCAATCCCATGGCACTTCTTTCTATGACCTTTCAGGAAGATATGGTTCCTCCTCTGGACAATGTCTCTTTTGCCCCTATAATAGGTACTCCCCATGGAGCCCTGCCACTTCCTATCTGGGCTCAAGCTGCCACCCTGCCCAGCAATGGGATGTTGAGTAAGCCATGTCATTTCTGGGCCTGTTTCCTCTTTGTAAGACCAAAAGTCAGACCAAACTTGAACACAGAGCTCTCTTCCTGCCAGGACAGGGGTAGTGTTCACTCCTGTGCTTATCTCTTTTCTGTCAGTCCCTCTTATTCTACCTCCTAATTCCCTGCCACCTGTCACTTATTGCATCTGTTCTTGTCTTCAGCATGTAGAACACAAGTCTAGAGATGGTTTGGTCTGGGACCTCCCGATCGCTTAGGACCGGACACTGCACATGAACACATGCATACACCACCATGTGAGGATGCAAAGCAGGCCAGAGGTGAACAAAACCTGCAGAAGGGCAGAGGGGTGTCCTGGATGACCTCAAATTACAGGAACTGTGGCCTGCCCCAAGGATGGCTCACCACAACTGTCGGCGATGGAGCCCATTCTTTGTCTTGACCACAAAACCAGAGGAGCTTGGCCTGATGCAATGGCTCAGTGGCTAAATCCTCACCTTATATGTGCCTGGATTCCATATGGATGCCGGTTCATGTTCCAGATGTACCACTTCCCATCTAGCTACGTGCTTGTGGCCTGGGAAAGCAGCAGAGAATGGTCCAAAACCTTGGGACCCTGCATCCAAGTGGAAGACCCGGAAGAAGCTCCTGACTCCTTGTTTTTGATTGGCTCAGCTCTGGCCATTGCAGCCACTTGGGGAGTGAATCAGTGGATGGAAGACCTTTCTGTCTTTCCTTTCTGTAAATTTCCCTTTCCAATAAAAAATAAGTAAATAAATCTTTTTTTTTACTGACCTTTGTGGAAGAGGGTCTCTCAACCCCATCCCTCTGACCCCTTGATATGTTTCTGTCACAGATCTGGGAGATGGTGGAAGCATGGTGGGTGGGGTGTTTATGTGTGTCCAGGACGCCATTTCAACACCGGAACCCTGCCCTCCCCCACCCAGGTTGTGGCGGAAATTGCCCAAAGCCAAAGTGAATGGAGAAGGGGTTTGGGGTGGGGGGGCGGACAGAGACAGTCACTCTTGCCTCATAGTCCCTACACACCCTCCCTCCACACACACCTTTTCTCCCCCTCGCCTTCTTGTCTTCCTGGATCTGACACCAAGATGCTGTCCAACAGACTGCTCCAGGAGGCAGAAAACCAGGTTCTCTGTTTCTCCATGGCCTTGGCCAAAGCAAGCACTTTAAGTTCAGTCTCTTCCATCAGACAGACATAGGATGTAAGAACCTTACTGCCATAAGGCTGCATCTATCTCAGGAAGTCACAGACTTAATCATGTACCACATGAACCCAGATTCCATGAAAAGGCATGGTTTCTACAGACACACCCCAGACCTACTAAATGGAATTCCCAGATGTGGGTAACCTAATGCCTGGAGATTCTGATTGCAACAGGCCAAGTTCACAGTGAGAGCTGCCACACACAGAACCACCAAGAAGACAGACAGAAGGTGGTCTTTAGGTACCTTCCAGCTTCAAACTAGCTGGAGAAAGTTTGCACCAGTCTGGGGGGCAAGGAATGGGATGCTTCCACTCCCCATTCAGGTGTGGGAGTGGTCTATATATCAGGGAAAGACCACCACGGGGTCTTGGGGCCCTGCCTCTCCGAGGACAAGGTAGCTGGCAGCTGGAAGGCTAGATCCTGGAGGGAGCATGGTGAGAACTGGCTCGACCATCCGGGGGAAGAAGAAAGGGTTTGCCCATTTGCAATAAGCATCTCCCATCTTGGAGACGAGTCTGCATTCTGGGGTCACCATCCCCAAACCCCACTCACATTGGCTTAGCTGTTATTTTCCTTCTTTCCCAATGTTGTGGACCAGGTAGAACTGGAGCCATCTATAGGAGCTAAAATCTATCCTCCTTGCTCTCCTCTCGATGTTCCTCTCCTGAGAGTTTTTTCTCACAAGGCCTAAGGAATTTCAGAATTACAGATCCTTCGGGCACAGAGTGAGGATCATCTGGAGAGGAGTTTGGGGGAGACTTTGAGCTTACACTGGTCGACGAGAGAAGGATCTGACTTCAGGGTCTCTCCGAGGTCTCTGTGATCAATCCACTTCTTCAAGTGCCAGTAAGGTGTCAGTGAGAAGATGGGAAAGGGGGCTATCGGGACTTGGCCATTGAAAAGATTAGGAAGAACATTTAAATGAAAAGCACACCAAGATGAGACAGCAAGAGGCAATCAGATACAAGGAGAAGAAGGAGTTTGATGAGAGGGGGCTCGAGTCCCTCCACGCCATCTGTGTGTGTGTGAGAGAGACAGACAGGCAGAGAAAACGAGGGGTAGGGGACCAGTTCCTGCCATCCTGTCACCCCAATCCCTTGACCCCACACTCCAGGCCTTTGGAACTATACCTGGAGAATGCCAGCAAACTGGACGACACCTCCCCTTTTCTCACTCTCTGCTCCTCAGGCCCTTGTCTCCCAGGCAACCAGGAGCACCAGGGGGAAGAACCTACACTGGGGTTGGGGTGCCTCCCTCCCCTGCCCAGTTCTACCTTGACCTCCACTTCCCAGAAAAGCAATAAAACCCACTCAACAACGCTGCTCCTAAGTCCAGACGACCAAGTCCTTAGCTTCTCCTCCAGTCCCCAAACCTCTCCAGCTGGCTGAACAGGGCAGAAGAGTGCAATGGACCGTGGGGAAAGATGGTACCTGGAAGTCTGTTGCCCCGCTCAGCACAGCCCTTTGGAGACCACCGGTCCCCATCCACTCTTTCCCACCCAGAGGATCCCAGAGCACTAGCTGCAGGTCTTTTCCCAAAGGAAATCCCAGAGATGCAAATTCCCAACCCCTCTAACTGTGGAGAGGTCCAAAGTCCCCTAAGAAAGTTGCTTGCTGTCTCCCTCCCTCCACTGCCACCCTCTTCCCAGCCAGTCCCTCCACCTCACAGTAATCCCTCTCCTACCCTGCCTTTCAGGCACCTGTGGCTGAGTCCGGGCAGGCAGGCGGACGAGGAGAGAGTTGAGGCTCCAAGTGCTGTCTCTGAGCAAGCTGGATCTAAGCTGACACCTCTGGGGCCGGGATCCCTGTTATCCCTGAGCACCCGAGAGGGCCGCGCCCCGCCCCCGGGCCATCGCCCGGTGCTGAGCTGGGAGGCTCAGGGCTGAGCTGGGCGCAGAGAAGCCAGAGGCGGGCACACCAGTTTTCTCTCTGAAGCTCTTGGCCTTCGAAGTCTTCGGTCCCTTCCTCCAACCAACCCTCCCCTTTCCCCGAGGCCCTCCTCTCCTCCTGCCCCTTCTGGCCAAGAGAGGAAACTTGAGCCTGGTGTGGTTTCTGCCCGCACCCCGCCCCCACCTTGCTCCCAGCCAGCGGGGGCGCACAGGGCTCCCAGCCTCTCCCAGCCTCTCCCAAGCCTGTCTTTCGGCCCAGGAACCCCGCCAGGTCTTGCCAGGTCTGCGTCCAACTCCACGGTCCACTCCCAAATGACCTCTACACTGTATACAGGTTGCAGCTTCTTTCTTCTGGCCCCACAGCTCTCTCTGTAGGTCGGGGAAACTGAGTCATGGCGAGGTGGAGGACTGCTGAAAGACCAGATGTTTCACTTCTCAACTGTCAGCAGGTGAGCATTGGGGTTAAGGCCTTCTTAGGCTCTGGGACTAGAGAGGGTGCGACTGGTTGCTTTGATGTGTCCTTTCACCTACAGCCTATCCCCTCCCCCTCAGCCTCAGATAGCCTAAGACAAAGACCTCTTTCTTGGCCAGTGCTTTCCTTTCCTTGTGTGGGGGCTGCCCAGCAGGCAGATTATTCATCTCCCTTAAAGGGGACCCCTGGGTACCCTCTGCCACCCTTTTTGCAGCATAGGCACCTTAGACCTGGACAGCCAACATATATGTGTAGAATGTCAGGTGTATCCCCAAGCCCCCACAGCAGTTCTGGATCACACCAATATATACTCCTGAAGCTACCTCATTCCCCCTTTGGCCTCCAAGCCCCAAAATGTAAGTCACAGGTTAAAACTGATCAGCTCCTGGAGGCTTGGGAGAAAGGAATTTTCCCTCTTCTTGGCTTTCCATGACTTTCGGCTTTAAGAAAGCTCCTTTGCACATCTAGCTGCAATTCCTTTTGTCTGCAGTTGGCACTGTGTATTTCTCCCTTCTCCTGGGGTTCGAGATCATTAGAAACATGAACAGATTGGGGAAGTAGACAGGTAACACTCTCAGGCAGAACTGACACTCAATCAGTAAGGCCCTGATAGGATTGCGTTCCCTGTTCAAATAATGGTAAATGCTCTCTCTTCACTGATAAAGAACAGACACTGTCTGTGCTCCAAATGTTGCTAGTCCTACCACAGCTACTCCAGTTCTACCCTAAGAAGTCAACACACACCCCATACACACATTCAACACAAATAGAGGTGGTGTTGGGTACCACAAGAAGCCTCCCATGCAGCCGGCATGGGCTGGCACTGATGGCCATGCACGGGCAAACCACAGTGAAAAGCACTGAATTCCAGTAAGTGTCATATCAACTTCTTTGTAACCTGATGTCATGGTGTAATCAGCCACAAGAGTGACGGTCACTACCCCTTATTCTAAGGGGGCCTGGATACGGATGCAAGCGCCTTCTGAATACAGCACCATTTGAATGTGGAATGAGCCTTATGTTGAGGTCAATAACAGGTTCTGCGCTCACTTGTAACAAGCGAGGTCATCCGATCAGGCGTGCAGCACCTTGATCCCCTGGGACATGGATATGAGAACCAGCAGTTCAGGACCCCATTTGTGGCGTTGCAGCCAACGCTGCTACTGTTAGGTGACATGAGCTTCACCGTTCACACATTCAACACATTTATTGAATATCTACTCCCTGCTGGCATTGAGAAAGATGAATAAAGCCTGGCTTGTGGTCCTCCCTTACAGTGTAGCTGAGAAATGACCTGAAGAGAGATCTCAATGAAGTGTCCTTGGAGCAGTAGAAGAAATACATCCTGCCTAGTGAAAAATCAGCAAAGGCTTCTTAGAGAAGCTGGGCTGCTAGGAATCATGCGAGATTCCCCAGACCATGCAAAAGCATGAAGGCAAAGAGGACAGAACAGAGTAAGCCTGTGGTTTTACTAGGGCAGGGTAGGAGATGAGGGGCGGTAAGAGGTAAGTTTGCCTGAGGTCATGAAGGGTCATGGAAGCCAAGCTAGGGAGAGTGTATTGGATCACTAAGGAACAAGGATACACAGAAGTGTTTGAAGTCTTTTGCTGTTTATTTTGGGGGTAATGGGGTAAACAGAGAGATAAATGAACGTTCAGCCATCACCCAGGCTCTGGCCCTGTGCAAGTGTCTTCCATCTGACCCCCACAGGAAGAGACCTCCACTGGTTCCCAGGCTGTGTTGTTTCCTCCACAATCCTGCAAACGGCCCTCAAGGGCTTCTTTCTCCCTGTCTTCTCAGGTTCTTCAAGTCCGGGGTCAACCCCTTCTACCCAAGTCTCCTCTCCAGTTAGTTTGCAGTGCATTGGGTGCACGCCAGCCAGGAGGGTTGGGTTTTCCTGTCCGTGGGATTCTCTCATACCAGGTAGCAGAGATGCGACAGGTGAAAAAGGTGTGGCCCTATAACTTTCCCTGTCTCGTTCCTCTCCATCTGATCAGGTCATTTACTCCTTTTGAGGTTGACTTGCTGTGTCTCCCCTGGCGACCCCACCCCTCCTCACCCACTTGATGCATGTGGACACCAGCATCAGTGTCAGGTCAAGCCACAAGCAATGTTGCCAAACGCCTCTCTGGGTTATGCAACCAGCTTCCCTAGAAGGGCGGGGTGGGCAGAGGTAGAACCAGGGGAGGGCCCTGAGTCCCACAGGGAGCTGGCTGCCTTGCCTGCCTGCCTGCCTGCCTGCCTGTTGGTCTGACCACAGTGGCCCCAGAGGGCGGGGGCAGGGCTGGCCCTTTATCAGTGCCCTGCAGGGTTGCACCCGCCTCCCACTGGCTTCCTCTCTCAACAGACGGAAAGGGGAGGCAGCCACAGGGGGCAAGAGGAGGGCTGGGCGTTATCCTAGGCAGCAGAGCCAGGCAGTTACCCCGATGGCTGGGGGTGGGGTGGTGGAGGTGGTAAAAGGACAAGGGAATAGTGAGTGAGGTTCCCTCTAAGGAGGGGTGACATAAACTGAGGCCCAAATAGGATTTTTGTTTAAATAACTTTTTTTAAGGCTTTATGTGAAAGGTGGAGTTATATAGAGAAACAGATACTCCGGCTACTGATTTATTCCCCCAAATGGCCCCAAGGGCCAGGCCCAAAACCAAGATCCAGAAGCTTCATTTGAGTTTCCCACATGGGTGCCAGGGACCAAGCACTTGAGCCATCTACTATTACTTTCCCAGGGGCATCAGCAGGGAGCTAGATCAGAAGTGGAGCAGCCAGGACTCAACCACTGCTCATATGGGAGCCACTGTCACAGGTTTAGCTGTTATGGTATGATTATGGTCTGTTATATTCCTTTTAGTATTCATTTCTTTAAGAGAGAGAGAAGAAGAAAGAAGTGGCCGGGGGGTGGGGGGGGAGGAGATAAGCATGGCTCCCATTAGACAGAAGAGCGGAGTTTGGGGTGAGGCACAGTAAAGATGTAACCCAGAAATTCAATCCAGGCCCCCTACATGCGCAGCAGGAATCTCATTACTTGAGCTGTAACTGCTGTCTCCCAAGGTCTACATTAGCAGAAGGTGGAGTCAGGAGCTGGAACTGGAACAACAACACACACACTCCAGTGCAGGACATGAGCATCCTAACCATTAGGGCTAAGACTTACCCTAAGGATAGAATTTTTTTTTTCTTTTCACTTTTATTTTGAAAAGCAGAATGACAGACACACAGTGAGAAATCTCCTATCTGCTAGTTGATTCCTGAAGACTTGCAACAGCCAGGGCTGAGTCTGCACTGCGTCAGGGTCTCCACACAGGTGGCAGGGTTCAAATACTTAAAGCATCACCTGTTATCTCGCAGGGTACCCATTAGCAGCAAGCTATACCAGATTCTCAAAACTAGACACTTGGGGGCCCAGCGCAGTGGCCTAGTGGCTAAAGTCCTTGCCTCGCATGCTCCGGGATCCCATATAGGCAACAGTTCATATCCTAGTGCCCCCACTTCCCATCCAGCTCCCTGCTTGTGGCCTGGGAAAGCAGTCGAGGATGGCCCAAAGCCTTAGGACCCTGTACCCATGTGGGAGACCTGGAGAAAGTTCCTGGCTCCTGGCTTTGAGTCAGCTCAGCCCCAGTCGTTACGGCCACTTGGGGAGTAAATCATTGGACAGAACATCTTCCTCTCTGTCTCTCCTCCTTTCTGTGGATCTGACTTTCCAATAAAAAATAAAATAAATCTTACAAAAAAAAAAAAAAGACACTGGATATGGAACACGGGAGTCCCAAGCCATGTCCTAACTGCTGTGGCACAACAGTCCCCTAAGGATTAGTGTTTTTGGAAAGGCGTTTGAAGAGGTTCTTTCTGTCAGATAAGAAATCCTATTACTTTTTATTTTGTAAGATATATTTATCTGAAAGGCAGAGTGGTAAAGAGAAAGGGAGAGATACGGAGAGAGACAGAGAGAAGGAGAAAGATTGTCTATCTACTGGTCTATTCCCCAGATAAAATAACCACAGTGGCTGTGGTGGGTCCAAGCTGAAGCCAGGATCCCAGAATTCCATCTGGGTCTCCTACATGAACTAGATTGGAAGTGGAGCAGCCAGAATTTGAATTTGGGTTGGGATATGAGATGCCGATGTTACAGCGGAACAGCTTAACTTCATGTGCCACAATACTAGTCCCAGATAAGAATTCTTAGAGGTAAGGGGAGACTGAACCCCATCTATTATGTGATCTTAGACAACCCAAGCTTTCTGAATTTCAATTTTTCTCCTGAGAAATAGAGATAGTGATGCTAACATGGAGCTGTTGGGAAGATAAAACAGGATCATTGTAGATGAATCTGTCCCCATGAGGAGATGAATGCTTAGATGATGGACGCCAACGTGCTCAGGCACTTGAGGATGTCATAGGGTCTTATCTGGTAGGGAGAACTGGGGACAGAGCTGAGGCTGGTGAACAGCCTGATTCTGGGAGAGGACCACAACTAAGATGCAGCAGCAACATCAGGGCTAGCCGTCCAGGATCATTCCTCTGCACCTTCTCCCCTTCCAGCAGTGTTGGGTGGGGCTTCCACACGCGGAAAAGGCACAGTGTCAGTGTGGCAGGCCTCGGTCACCTTCCAGGAACCCCAGAACCCCCACCCCTTACTGTTGTAATCTGCAGTGGGTGGAGCTGTCCAGGAAGTTCCATCCTCTGCTTTTTTTTTTTTTCTGTTTTTAAGATTTATTTTATTGGAAATGCAGGTTTACAGAGAGGGAGAGACAGAAAGATCTTCCATTTGTTGGTTCACTCCCCCCAACTGGCCACAAGGGCTGGAGCTGAGCCCATCTGTAAGCGAGGAGCCAGGAGTCTCTGAATCTCGCATGTGGGTACAGGGTCCCAAGGGTTTGAGCTGTCCTCGACTGCTTTCCCAGGCTACAAGCAGGGAGCTGGATGGGAAGTGGAGCAGCCGGGACACAAACTAGCGGCCATATGGGATTCTGGCCCTTGTAAGGTGAGGATTTATCCACTGAGAGATTGCGCCAGGACCCTCCCCATCATCCTCTACTTAGAGAATAGATGGCTGGCTGCTTGTCCCTATGTCCCTGCCCCTGGGTATCTGTTACTGGCAGTCTTGCTTCTTTTTGTTCCTAACCACCTGGAATGCCCACCTTGTCCCTGTCTGCTTCTCAGAGGTGGTACAGAGTAGAAGACAGATCTGACTTTCAATGTCAGCTCAATGCATAGGAGTGTGGACTTGGGCAAGTCATTTAAATTGCTTAGGCATCCCTCAACTTTGCCTTGATAAAAGGGCTGGCATTGAGGCCAGTATCCTATCCAACCACCACTTTGAGTCCCAGATACTTCACTTCTGATCTAGCTTTCTGCCAATGCCCCTAGGAAAAAGCAACAAAAGATGATCCAAGTGCTTGGGCCCAGCGTGTTAGAATAGTTAGAATAGTTGTTAAAGTCCTCACCTTGCATATGCCAGGATCCCATGTGGGTACCAGTTTGTATCCCAGCTGATCCACTTCCCTTCCAACTCCCTGCTTGTGGCCCGGGAAAGCAGTCGAGGACGGCCCAAAGTCTTGGGACCCTGCACCCCTGTGAGAGACCTGGAAGAAGCTTCTGGCTCCTGATTTCAGATTAACTCAGCTCTGGCTATTGCAGCCAGTTGAGGAGTGAACCAACAAATGGAAGATCTTCCTCTCTGTCTCTCCTTCTCTCTGTAAATATGACTTTCCAATAAAAATAAATAAATCTTTAATACATATGTAGCTACCACCTGTGACACTGGCATCCCATATGGGTTTGGGTTCAAGATTCTGCTACTCCACTCCAGAGCCAGCCCTCTGTATTGTGCCTTGAAAGACATCAGGTGATGGAAGATATCACACTCTGTTCTGTCTTCATTTCTCTGTAACTCTGCCTTTGGATGAACAAATAAATCTTTAAAATATACCAGCTTTAAAAAGATTTGTATATTTTGGGCCCGGCACAGTGGCCTAGGCTAAAGTCCTTGCCTTGAACATGCCGGGAACCCATATGGGCACCGGTTCTAATTCTAGTACGCCACTTCCCATCCAGCTCCCTGCTTATGGCATGGGAAAAGGCAGTCAAGAACAACTCAAAGCCTTGGGACTCTGCACCCACATGGGAATCCCAGAAGAGCTCCTGATTTCTGGCTTCAGATTGGCGCAGCTCCAGCTGTTGCAGTCACTTGGGGAGTGAATCAACGGATGGAAGATCTTCTTCTCTGTCTCTTCTCCTCTCTCTCTATATCTGACTTTGCAATTAAAAAATTTTTATATATATTTGAAAATCATAGTTATAAGTACAGAGAGAGGGAGAGAATATTTCATCTGCTGGTTCACTTCCCAGATGGCCGAAATGGCTGTACTGAGTCAGGCAGAGCCAGGAAACAAGACTTTATCTTGGTCTCCCATGTGGACAGCAGGAAATCCAAACACTTGGGCCATCTACTGCTGCTTCCCCAGGTATATTAACAGGGAGTTGTAGAAGTAGAACAGCCAGGACTCAAACCTGTGCCCATATGGGATACAGAGCATGCCAGTTTAACCTACTATGCCAACCCAACTTATTAACTTTATTGAGAGGGATGATGGTTTATGTCTTGTCTTTAATACATACTTCAGGGTGTCTAGTTTTAACTTTAATGTGCAGTTATGCATTCCACAAATATTTATAGAGGACATACTAATTGCTAAATTGAAGGCATATCAAGATAATGAAGGTGTAACCCTTGCCTTTGGGCATTCGCAAAGGATGCAAAGGCGCAGACACAAATACAAACACATGAATGGATGTGGCTACTACTGATGTGCCAATACACAAATCACTTTCTCTGAGAACAAAGGAAAGGCAAGAGTCTTCAGCAAGAGTCTTCAGCAAGTCTTGAAGAGTGAGTGAGTAAGTAGAGGAGTCTGATTTCCTAGGGAAAAAAAACCAAGCAAACAAAAAAAGAAATTTTCCAGGTAGAAGAAAAGATCTATGCAAAGGTGCTATTGTGGGGAGAAAAGTCTGGAAATGTTTTATCCACTGCAGTGTACTAGAGCCCCAGGATGGTAGAGGCAGAATTGGGTGTAGAGGCAAATTCCTAGGACCCCAGGGTGAGTCATGGTGACCAGGACTCAGGGACAATTCCTTGGTAGGAACGTAGGTGCTTTTCAAGGTTCTTAGATATCAGTTGATGGAATGGTGCAGTGGGTTAAGCTGCCTCCTGCAACACTGGCATCCCAAGTGAATGCCGGTTCAAGTCCTGGTTATTCACTTCTGTTCCTGCTCCCTGCTAATACCCCAGGAAAGGAAGTGAAAACCGGCCCAAGTGCTTGGGCCCCTGCAGCAACTTGAGACACTGGACAAAGCAGTAGCCTCTTGGCTTTGACCTGAACCAGCCTGGCCATTATAGCCATTTGGAAAGTGAACCAGCAGATGTAAGATTTCTTTCTTCTCTCTGTTGCTCTGCCTTTCAAATAAAATGTATTCTGGAGTAAGTTTACTATTTGTCAGTGCTTTGTGCTGCATCTAGAGTACGTGTTTATACATGCCTCTCCAGTAGGAGTCTGCCTCTGTAACTAGACTGGAGTCCTAATGCACTTAAGTTCTTTAAGTAAGTGGTTCCGAATAAAAGAAAATTTACTATATATAAAAAAATAGAAAAGCAGGTGTCATTACATCTTCCCCTCTGGTGCAAAGAGAGGTGGGAAGAAGTCAGAAAATACCAAGGATTGGACAAGAAACTAACAATTCAGTTAGTAAAAAGTTCTCTGATATGATCACATATCTCACCACTTACCTGTTTTTCCCTCTCACACTCCACTATCCTTCTTCTTGTCTTAATACCTCTGTCCCCTGCCCAGTAGACTCCAAACCAATGATACCATCTTTTCTTTCCTTTTAAAAAATAACTCATCCATTTTGTTTCATACCTAGAACTATATAAACTTGCAGACACTGCTAACTTTGGCAACCCATTTCCTCTCCATTGAACTTTCTGGAAAGCCTCCTCCCACCTCAATCTCATTAAATCCAACAATTTAGTTTCTCGCATTTGAATCTGAGAAGCTAAATATTGATGAAGAAAAAAAAAAAACCTCAGGATCTTACTGATGCATCTCACTTTAAATTTATCCCCTACAACTCTAACATTTCCATATGCAACACTTCCCTGATGTTTTCTCTTTTCTGTTTTTTGCAGTGACTTTCATAGCTTCTCTTTCCCGAAATTCCTCCTCAGCAGATGATCCTGCCTCAAGTTTCACGGCTAACCTGGATGTATTTAATTAAGTCTGCTTTATTGTTCCAATACCACACCTGGCAGCTGACTTGGGGCTATTTCCACACGCTTTTACTTCTTCCTCATTAAGAAGGAACAGGGGTGGTGGAACAGGTGGTGGTGAAAAGTGTTGACACCTGCAGTGATGGCATCTCTTTTGGGTGGCAGTTGCGGTCCCAGCTGCTTCTCTCCTTCTCCTCCTTTTTCAGAGAAGAGAAGATCCTACAGCCACTAGTTCACCCCCGAAATGGCTGCAATAGCTGGAACTGTGCTGATCCAAAAGCAGGAAACAAGAGATTCCTCCAGGTCCCCCACTTGGGTACAGGAGCCAAACGACTTGGGCCATCCTCCACTGTTTTCCCCAGCCATCAGCAGGAAACTGGATTGGAAGTGGGGCAATCAGGGCACAAACTGGCACCCATACTGGATGGTGGTGCTTGAAAGTGGAGGATTAGCCCCTTGAGCCATGGTGCTGACTCCCAGCTGCTTCACTTCTGATCCAGCTCCCTGTTAATGTGCACATGGGAAAGCAGTGGAGGATGGCTGAAGTGCTTGGGCCCCTGTATGCACACAGGAGACCCAGATGAAGCTCCAGCTTCCTGGCTTAAGCCTGACCCAGCCATTTGGGAAGTGAACCAGTGGACAGACAGATCTATTTTTCCCTCTGTAACTCTGCCTTTCAAATAAACAAATAAAGAAGAACAAAAGGAGAAGGCGCTGCCCCTGTGCCTACCTGAGGCTGGTCACTCTATGCCCTGGGAAGGGTGGAAACAAACTGGATTGCACTGGGCAATGGGCAGAGTACATGGACAGTATTTAAGTCCTGCCCTCAACAATGGTGCACCCTACACAGCTGCTGATACTTGACGCAATTTCGTGGAAGGGTGATAAAGTAATTCAGAAGATGTTAAGATAGCACTCTGAAGAGTTCACTCAGGGGGCAGGTGCTTATGGCACAGTCAATGAGGTGACTACTTGGTAACCCTACACCCATATCATAGTGTCTGTTCCAGTTCTGACTACTCTGCTTTCCATCCTCCTTCCTGCCAATGCCCCTGGGAAGGAAGGAGATGATGACCCAAGGACTCGGGTTCTGCCACCCATGTGGAGAACCCAGATGGCATGCCTGGCTTCGGCCTAGTCCTACACAGGCGGTTTAAGCCATTTGGTGACTAAACCAACAATTGGAAGATTCTTTATGTTCCAGTATTTTCCTCTCAGTACTCTGATTTTCAAATAAATAAAATTTTTCTTTTTTTAAATAAGAAAAAAGGGCCTGGTGTGATAGTCTGGTGGTTAAATCCTTGCCTTGCATGTGCCAGGATCCCATATGGGCGCTGGTTTTAATTCCAGTAACCACACTTCCCATCCAGCTCTCTGTTTATGACCTGGTAAAATGGTCGAGGATGGCCCAAAGCCTTGGGATTCTGCACCAAGTGGGAGACCCAGAAGACTCTCCTGGCTCCTGGCTTTGGATAGGCTCAGCTTCGGCCACTGTAGCCACTTGGGGAGTGAATCAGCAAACAGAGGATCTTTCCCTCTGTCTTTCCTCCTCTCTTGTATATCTAACTTTCGAATCAAATAAATCTTTAAAAAAATAATAATAAATATAAGGGCCCAACATAATGGTTCAATTGGCTAATCCTTCACCTCCATGCACTGGGATCCCATATGGGCACTGGTTCATGTCCCGACTGTTCCATTTCCCTTCCAGCTCCCTGCTTGTGGCCTGGGAGGGCAGCAGAGGACGGCCCAAAGCCTTGGGACCCTGTACCTGCCTGGGAGACCTGGAAGAAGCTCCTGACTTTGGATTGGCTCAGCTTTGGCCATTGCAACCATTTAAGGAATGAACTAACAGATGGAAGATCTTTCTGTATCTCCTTCTCTCCATAAATATGCCTTTCCAACAATAAATAAATGAATCTTATGCAAATAAGTATAGAAAATTTTCAAGAATATTAATGTATGCAGGCCACACAAGGAGCTATCTCTGAATGTGCCTGGAGAAACACTGAGAACTGGTGGTGAAGACCAGGGGTGGAGGGGTCCTTAGTAGAACATCCTCTCTTCTTTCTCTGAAGACAAGGTACAGTTCAAATGATTGGATGTCAGTTGCAGCCAACTCAATATAATTGATTCTGTTAATAATCCTTTCAGTCATCTTATTGAAACTGATTGGCTCAAAGTTGGATTGTGTTAGGATTCTAGCCATTTTACTTTAAATGATTAAGTTTCTAGAACTTTAGGTATGTTGACAGAATTATGCGTTCCTGAAACTAACCCAGGCCATTTGCAACTTCTACAAATGACCAATTTCATCTATCACACTTTTGTTTCTAATTTCACTTGTGGTGCACACATTTGTGGACATTTTTTTGTTATTGTAATTGGCAGAAGTGGGCCGGTTTCCTAGTCGGTCTTTTAACTTTCTTTCTTCCAATCCTTTTTGCACACAAAGCTGTCAAATCGATAATTGTATAAATTGCTTCCATTTAACCCACAGAACAAGAGAGAATATCAAACACTTCTGTGTTTGGTGAGTCTGGTGTCTAGACTATATAAAGAACTTTACAACTCAACAACAAAAAGACAAACAACCTAAAAATAAGTAAAGGACCTGAGCAGACAATTCTCCCAAGAGATATGCAAACAGACAAGCATACAAAAATGTTAAAAACCATTAGTCATTAGGGAAATGCAAGTCAAAATCACAAGAGACATCACTTCAAACTGACTAAGAAGGTTGTATACAATAAAAAAAGGAATAAAAATAAGCATGGTACAGAAGACCCGCAGCCCTTATTGGAGTGTTGCTTGGAATCGTAGTTGACCTGCTTCTGGTCTAGCTCCCTGCTAAATACCTGGGAAGGCAGCAGATAACGACCCTTGGGCTTTGGGTTCCTGCAAGCCTCCTATGAGAGATTCAAAGGGAGTTTCACCAGAAAATTGACGTCTCTCTGCCGTTCAAGTAAAATTAAAACAATACAAATGTTGGGCCCGGCGGCATGGCCTAGCGGCTGAAGTCCTCATTTTGAAAGCGCCAGGATCCCATATGGGCGCCGGTTCTAATCCCAGCAGCTCCACTTCCCATCCAGCTCCCTGCTTGTGGCAGGGAAAGCAATTGAGGATGGCCCAAAGCCTTGGGACCCTGTACCCACATGGGAGACCCAGAAGAATCACCGGGTTCTGGCCTCGGATCTGCACAGCTCTGTCTCTCATTCTCTGTAATCTGATCTGCTTTTCTTATAAAAATAAGTAAATCTTCTATATTAAAAAAGAGGACCAACCACAATAGCTTAGTAGCTAAATCCTCACCTTGCATGTGCCTGGATCCCTTATGAATGGGCACCGATTCATATCCTGGCTGTTCCACTTCCCATCCAGCTCCTTGCTTGTGGCCTGGGAAAGCAGCAGAGGATGGCCAAATCCTTGGGACTCTGCGCCTGTGTGGGAAACCTGAAAGAAGCTCCTGGCTTCAAATCAACTCAGCTATGACCATTGCGGCTACTTGGGGAGTGAACTAGCGGATGGTTGCTCTTTCTCTCTGTGTCTCTTTGTGCTGTCTCTTCAATAAAAAAAGAAAGAAATTAAATTAAAAATAGAAGTTGTTGAAATAGTAAATTTCATGTTATATTTTGGCTGCAATTAAAATAAAGAAAAAGTGGGCGCAGAGTGGTAAACTAGTGACTAAAGTCCTCAACTTGCATGTGCCAGATCCAGTATGGGTGCCAGTTCTTATCCCGATGACCCCCAACCACTTGCGCCACCGCGCCGGGCCCTATGTATCTGATTTTCCAATAAAAATAAAGAAATCTTTAAAAAATAAAGAAGGGGCCCGGTGCGGTGGCGCAGTGGTTAAGGTCCTCGCCTTGCACGCCCGGGATCCCATATGGGCGCCGGTTCTAATCCCGGCAGCCCCGCTTCCCATCCAGCTCCCTGCCTGTGGCCTGGGAAAGCAGTCGAGGACGGCCCAAAGCCTTGGGACCCTGCACCCGCGTGGGAGACCCGGAAGAGTCTCCTGGCTTCGGATCGGCATAGCATCGGCCATTGCGCTCACCTGAGGAGTGAATCATCGGACAGAACATCTTCCTCTCCGTCTCTCCTCTCTGTATATCTGCCTTTCCAATAAAAATAAAATAAATCTTTAGAAGAAAGAAAGAAAGAAAGAAAGCAAGCAAGCTTACATATTTCAGACTTCATGATTATATTCACACTAAACCATACCTGTGGCTTCATCAAAGCATGAATGAATCAAGGCCAGACTTTACACTCCCTCTGCATTCCTCCACCCTACCCCAGTACCCAGGCACTCCCTGGTACTTTTGTCCTTTGAGTAGCATTTAAACCTACATCACCCTTTGACACTGTACGTCAGTCTTTGTGCCTGACATTTTCACAAACATTTACCCCACTCAGTAAACTCTGAGTGCTAGGTGCTAAAGACAGGAGCTCCTGGGATGAAGCGCATTCTCCATTTAGACTGATCAGTTACACTGTGCACACTCCGGCTGCGATCAGAGCCGGTGATGGCAGCAAGCAGGAAGTGTTCACTTCCGCTGGTGGACAACAGGGAAGGTTTCAGGCCTTGGCTGTGGTATTCAACAAAGAATTCCAAGGGGCAGGTGCTGTGTTATAGAGGGTTTAAAATGCCACCTGCAACTCCAGCACCCCAGACGGGCCCTGGAACAAGTCCCAGTTGTTCCACTTCCAATCCAGTTCCCTGTAATATGGATGGGAAAGCAGTGGAGATGGTTCAAGTGCTTGGGTCCTTGTACCTATGTGACAGACATAGATGAAGCTCCTGGCTTCGGTCCTGCTTTGTTCTGCCTGTGGCAACCATTTAGGCAGTGAATCAGTGAATGGAAGATATCTCTCTCTCGCTCTCTCTTTGAACTATGCCTTTCCAATAAAGGCAGAATGAAAGGTCTTCTGTCTACTGGTTCACTCCCAAAATGGGTGCAAAGGCAAGAGCTGAGCCAATCTGAAACCATGAGCTAGGAGCTTCCTCCAGGTCTCCCATGCAGGAACAGGGTCCCAAGGCTTTAGATCATCCTCCACTGCTTTCCCAGGTCATAAGCAGGAAGCTGGAAGGGAAGTAGAGCATTCAGGACATGAACCAGTGCCCAGAGTGCTTACAAAGTAAGGATTTAGCTATTGAGCCATTGCACTGGATCCCAAATTAATAATTATTTTTCTTAAGATTTATTTATTTTTGGGCCCTGCGCGGTGGCGCAAGTGGTTAAGGTCCTCGCCTTGCATGCCCAGGATCCCATGTGGGCGCCGGTTCTAATCCCGGCAGCCCCGCTTCCCTTCCAGCTCCCTGCCTGTGGCCCGGGAAAGCAGCAGAGGACGGCCCAAAGCCTTGGGACTCTGCACCCGCGTGCGAGACCCGGAAGAGTCTCCTGGCTTCGGATCGGCATAGCATCGGCCCGTTGCGCTCACTTGGGGAGTGAACCATCGGAAGGAAGATCTTCCTCTCTGTCTCTCCTCTCTGTATATCCGCCTTTCCAATAAAAAAATAATAAAAATAAATATTAAAAAAAACCCCAAAAAACAAAAAAAAGATTTATTTATTTTTATTGGAAAATCAGATATACAGAGAGGAGGAGAGACAGAGAGGAAGATCTTCTGTCCAATAATTCACTCCCCAAGTGAGTGCAATGGCCAGTACTGCACCAGTCCAAAGCCAGGAGCCAGGAACTTCCTCCAGGTCTCCCATGTGGTTGCAGGGTCCCAAGGCTTTGGGCTGTCTTCGACTGCTTTCCCAGGCCACAATCAGGGAGCTGGATGGGAAGAGGGGCTGCCAAGATTAGAACTGGAGCCCACATGGGATCCCAGTGCATCAAAGACAAGAACGTTAGCCACTAGGCCACTGCACCGGGCCCAAATAAATAATTTTTTAAAACATTTATATAGCTTAGAGAGTGAACATCACAATAATAGATTCGGTGCCTGTATTCCACATGCATGTCAGGCTCAGTTTCCTGGCTCCAGCTTCCTCTAACGCAGACCCTGGAAATCTGCAGTGATGGCTAATGTCATGGGTTCCTGCTGCCCATGTGGGAGACCTGGATTGAATTGCTGGCATTTAGCCTTGGCCTGGTCCATGTGAGCACTGAGGTACAGGAACCAGCAGGTAGAAGATCTCTCTCTCTTCCTCCACCCTCTTCTGTCACTCTACCTTTCAAATAAATAAAACAAAATGATGGAAAATCTCAGATCGAGTCAGCAGTAATTCCCTTATAGCACAGTCACCCAACAATCTGGAGAGCTAAGATCTGCATGGTTTGGAACAATGAGTGTTCAAATCAGTTACTTCCCAAAGAGGGAAGAGTCAACCACACTCTGGAAGCAAACAGCTCACATTTTATACCTCCTCAGGGTTCCTGCAGAACTGAAGCAGGGTCCTTCACATAGAACTGGGACCCAAGTCAGGCTGTTCCACACCACAAACCAGAGGAGTGAATTGTAAAAGTACCATTTGATTTCAATTTTAAAACTAATTTATGCAGCTGCCATAGTGATAAAGTGGGTTAACCCTGCAATGCTGGTTTATATGGGTGCTGGTTCAAGTCCAGGCTACTCCAATTCTGACCCAGATCCCTGCTAATCCTCCTAGGAAAGCAGCAGCAGAAGATGGCCCAAGTGCTTGGCCCTGCAACCATGTGAGAGTTCCACATGAAGCTCCTGCCATCAGTCTCCTGCCATCAGTCTGGTCCAGCCCTGGCATTTTGGGCCATCTGGGGAGTGCACCAGTGAATGAAAGATCTCTCTGTCTTCACCGCTCCCTCTCTTCTGCCTTTCAAAAAAAATTTTTTAAATTTTTGTTGATTTGTTTGTTTATTATAATCTTACATAGTTGATTAGGATAAAAATTGTCAAGGGCAACAGGAAAGTGGGTAGGACCATTGTTTCCACATTAATATCATCATTTTTCCCCCTGTATCTGGGGTCAGGGTAGAAACAAAGGGAGAAACCCCAGCCAGCCTCCCACCCATCCCAGGTCCCTGGTGTGAGGAATGCTCCAAGGGTCCTGCTCAAGCAGTTTTGACAGTTCAACAGTTATGAATTGCTGCCAATCTTGCCGTTTCAAGCAAGAAAGATCTATTCAGAATCCACTGGCTGACATAGTCTCTTCATGGTTGGGGCTCTGAGATCAGCAGTTCAGTTGGAGGGAATCTCCAAAGAAACTTCATTGAGGTGATCCCAGACCTGATTCTTGTCTGTGCGTGCCAGTATACGGTCTGGCACTGTCCATCACTCCAATCAGCTTATGTACATGCTGGCCATTGCATTTGCTGGATCAATTGTTTCCAGTCCTGTCTTCCATGCCAACCAATGGTTGTTGCAGTCCAGACCAATCCTGTCCACTTCATACCTGGCCCTCACGCAAACCAGTGGGAGCTGCAGCCTAGTTGGGGCGATTCACCATAATCCTAACCAGGCCTGCCCCCTACCCTGGTTCGCATGCTTGCCAGTATTACCTCAGACTTGTTCAGTCTGTCCCACATCCCATTCAGCTCTCCTACATGTCAATGGGCATTGAAGCCTAGTTCAACCCAACCAACCTACTATTCAGCCCACACACATACTGGCAGGTGCCTTTCTGTCTAGTCACCCCTGCCCCTAACCTGATTTTCATGCTCTCCAGTAAGAGTGGTAACCCAAGAGGGAGGTGCCCATTATTTCCCTATTGGGCCACTCCCACTCTTGAATTATGCACTCTCCAGGTGGTTCTGCAGTTTAACTTGACAGAATTAGCCCCTAGTGCCAGCATCTGCCCACTGATGCTGCGGAAAAGCCCAACCAACCCTCACCCACTCTAACCTTTGGTTGCACTAGTTGGAACAGTCAGCCCAACCTGGCTTTTCCCTGATCTAGCTCACATGAGGCCCACAGGTGTTGTAGCCCTGCCTGGTCTGGTCTGCCCCCATCCCAACTCACGCTCTCCAGTGGGAGTGGTTGTCTAGCAAGGGAACCCACATTCCCCCTGCTGGCTCTGTCCCTTCCATGCCTAGTTCTCATGTGTGCTGGTTGGGTGCTGCAACCCTATCTGGTACAGTTCACCTAACCTTGGCATTCTGTAATGTGCACTGGTTTGTGTCACAACTGAACCTGGCTCGGCCTACACTCTGTTCTGGTGCTCAGATTCACCAGTGGGTGATGTGAACTGATCCAGCCTGGTCTGTCCCCGACCTATGCCAAATGTGTGCCAGTGGGTATCTTTCTCTGGCCTGATCTAGGTTGCTCGCTATCATGGTTCTTGTGCTCATCTGTAGGACTATGTCCCAACAGAGGAGTTTCCCAAGCTCCTCCATCAGAACCTCTCCCTATGCCAGGTCTTGTGCATACTGGTGGATCCATGGGCCAGCCCTCTTTGCTAGCCTTCAATCCATTCTGGTTCTTACTGTTGGATGTTTCAGCCCAACCAAGGCTCATCTATATCCAGACATTGCTCACACATGACTCAGTAGGGGCAGAGACCTAGCCTAGTCTGTCCTAGGTTCTCCAGAACACCAGATGGTGCTGGTGTCTAGCCCGGCTAGGTGTATACAGCCCCAGTTCACACTTGTGCCAAGGGAGATTGCAGCCATATCCAGACCAGAATGCAGCCTCCATTCTGGCCCCTGCACTCTCCTATGGAAACCCCAACCCAACAAGGGTGTACTCACAACTCCCCAACCGAGCCTGTTCCCAGACAAAGACTGCACACGTGCCAGTGGTTGCTCTGACCCAGTTGGCTTAGCCCCTCACCTGTCTTGGATTTTGCCTCTGATGCTGTGGCCTAGTATCCCTGTCTCATGCAGACCACTCAGTGTAAGAGCCTAGTTCAGCATGACATGTGCTCCATCTTGATTTCTGTTCTTCTTTGTGAGTTGAGGTTTGCTTGGCCCTGCCTGGTCCACCCCCTTCCAGTTGCAGCTCGGCCCATTCCACATCCTATTTTAGGATGCACATTTGGGTGCTGCTGCCTTGACCTGCCCAGACTACTGTTGTCGGTTCTTTTACCTGTAAGTGATGGCAGGTTCCGTGGTCAAACCTAGCTCAGCCCATCATCACCCCAGCTTGCAAGCTAATCAGCAGGACTTGTATTTCCACAGGGTTTGGACCACATTTCCCCCCACAGAATCTACACCTGGACCTGGTTTTCTCATGTGCTGGTTAGTGTCTTGACCCTGCCAAGTGTGACCCATTCTCAGTTCCACCACTCAGTCAGGTACTGGTACCTAGCCCTGCCATACAGGCCCCTATCTATAGCTTTCATGTGGACTGGTGTGTGGCAGTCAGTGATGCTCTACATAACAGCCCATCTCAGGATTCCCATTTGGGCCGATGAATCAGTCTGGCCCAAATAGATCTTATGGCTGCTCTCCTTCAAACCACCAGGTCTCAATCTCCACTCTTACCAGCAAGTTCCGTGACCCCGTTGCTGGGAATCACAGAGAATTAATCTCTCACCTACACTCACACCGGCCTTATCCATGGATGTTCCTAGGCAGCAATTACATATCCTAAAAACCCCAGAGCTCACTGCCGGGGGTGGGGGGACAGCAGGCAGAGCCTGGCACCACTTGGTACGCTGGCCGCAGAAAGCCTAGGACTCAGTCACTGCCTGTCGACAGTGACTTTGGCCTGAGTCCCCAGCACTGGGTTCAGCCTGACTGGGACACCTCCCATAACCGCCACACTGCAGGGAGCTGCTTTTGCCGCAACCCCACGGCCGAACACATTTTTTAATATTTTAAAAAGACATTTACTTATTTATTTAATTGAAATACAGAACGAGAGAAAGGGGGAGAGACAGGGAGGGAGAAATCTTGCATTCTCTGATTTGCTCACCCAGATGCCACAATAACCAGTTGGAGAGCGGCTGGTTTAAACCAGGAGCCTGAAACTCCATCATTTACTTTCCTTAATGGTACATAATACCTCTGTGGTTCTGTATTGCTTTATTTTTTTTTTTCTGACTTTACTCTGAAAGTATTAGAAAAAAAAACCCACAGTGAAGTTTAGACTCTCTTCTTGGAGAACAGGAAAACTTGTAAATGAGATGGGGAGGGGGAGGATCCATTTGGGAATAATAAAACAATAGATTCCGTGGCGTAAGAGAGGCATTGAACCAGGGAGCAGGGGTAAGGAAAAGATAAACTTCATTAAAAACCCTTCCCTATTGTGAAATCCTGCATTTGGCAAACTTCTCTTTTCTCATTTTGCAATGCTTGTCCCTACTGGAAAACCGCAGACCCTACTCCCTGTACCCCAACTTGTTCTGATATTTTTACTCTTCAGTCCTTCCTACTCTCTTTGGTCTCCACAGCTCCAACATGCGACTTCGACGTTGAACCAAAGGAAATCTGTTTTGGGAGATTTTTTGTTTTCGTTTTCTTGGTTTCTTATTCATCCGTGGGGAAGCTGCGGGACCTTGTGGCTCTCCGCTCCGGGTGACCTTCGTTTATCTAGTTATCTTTCGGCATCTGTCGGTTCTAACTCTACCGGTGGGAAGACTTTCAGTGTGGATGCTAAAGACGAGTGAACGAGCGTAAGGGGAACTCTGTCACAGCAGCCGCGGACACGGAAGACGTAACGACGGCACCGGGAACCGACCTTGACGTAGGATTTGCGCAGGAAAAGGCCAAGGAGACACAGCGCCCTCTAAAGGGAGTGCGCACAAATGAGGTCATGGTATCACGTGTCCTTCGTTCCACCAATCGGAAATTAGCAATCGTTTCCTCTGTTCCCCATGGAAACAGTCCCGCCCCACTGACCCTCCCTCCCCATTCAGTCGTAAGACTTTGGCGTTTTATTGAATGTTCAAGCTGACAATCAAATACCTGCGCCCTCTGGCTGGATGACTTGCTTCCGCTAAGCATGAGAAGACACGGATTGGCCAAGGTTTCAATGGCTAGTTTGTTCCTATCCAATGATCCTCATAGGGGGCGGGGTTTGAGTAAGACGTACGTCCAATCAGCGACGGCGTTGCTTTTGCGACTCCACGTCGGCACCAGCTGCGAGGCAAGATGGAGGCGCTGATTTTGGTAGGAGCTGGAGGGGCTGCGGAGCTGTTACCGTGGCCGGCGGGGCGGGAGTCAGGGTTCAGGCCGAGCTGGGAGGGGAACACAGCGGCGTCCGGATGATCCTCGGGGGCCGAGGGATGTATTCCGGCCCTGGAATAAGCGTGTGGCCTAGTGCCGGAGGAAACGGAGTCGGGGAGAGGGCTCCGAGTCTGTGCAAAATTGAAGGGAATACACGGCTCCCAGCACACGTAGGGTCGCAGGCGTGCTGGTTAGGGGTGCTTCGGCTGCCCTTTGACTTCTCAGCCTCGTGAGGGATGTCCTGATTTCAGTCTCCCGAAACCTCCACATTCGCCTCCAAATTATAAAGCTAGAATACATATTTTTTTTTTCTTCATCACAGATAGCCCCCGATGGTTCTTAAAGTTTGACTTCGCACTGATAGATCCCTGTTTTAGTCCTTTCCAAGAAACTGTGTTTACTTTCGTCTCCTCATAGCCCCTGTGATATCTGTCAGGATGAAGAATCAGTATTCCATCCAAGTTCTGAAATTCCTTATAGAGATAGCCTGAATTCTTTTCTCTGTTCTCCTTTTCCCAACCCCGTTTGGACTTGAGGGAATCTCACGTAGGGTCCTGTTGCTGTTTCTCTCTTTGGTTATACGAACATTGTGGTGTTTCAAGAAGTGTGTTAGCCCTCTTGTCTAGAGGCTACTTTTCGTGTGTTCCAGCAAAATATCTGTTATCTTTTCTTTGAAACTGGACCAGAGCATCTACTTGAAAAGTGGTCTGTGTTAAATTGGAAGGTGTGAGTGTCTCTGCGTTCAGGTCTAGGAATTTAGTGACCAGCCCTCCTGCAGTCTCTGTCTCTTCTAAGAAGCTTTCTCTTCTATTCCAGAGGTCCTCACCAGGTAAAAGAGAGTCATAGGCTTTAATTCACCTTTTAAAATACCCACGATAAAATATATTCTCATGGTGTGGGTTCTTAAGCTCAAAAGCTTGAAGTTTGGAGTGCTTTCTGTAGCAGGTGGATTTGGAGTTTTCTTAGCCAGGTGGCAGCCTAGGATAGAATCGAGAGAGTTGGGTTCTTTGCAAGTGTTTAGACTGCTCCTTATGTACGTTTAGAAGGAAGTCTGCTGGGCCTGGCTAAACAGCTCAGTGGTTAAATCCTCGCCTTGCAACCACTGGGATCAGATGCCATATGTATACCGGGCGGTTCTACATCCCATCCAGCTCCCTGCTTGTGGCCTGGGAAAGCAGTCGAGGATGACCCAAAGCCTTGGAACCCAGCACCTGCGTGGGAGACCCAGGATATGAACCAGTGCCCATGTGGGATCCCCGCGCATGCAAGGCGAGGACTTTATTTTATTTTTTAAAAAGATTTATTTATGGGCCCGGCCATCCTCAACTGCTTTCCCAGGCCACAAGCAGGGAGCTGGATGGGAAGTGGAGCTGCTGGGATTAGAACTGGCGCCCATATGGGATCCTGGCGCGTTCAAGGTGAGGACTTTAGCCACTAGGCCATGTCACCGGGCCCAAGGCGAGGACTTTGGCTGCTAGGCTACTGCACCGGGCCCTAGTCCTCCACTTTAACCTGTGCTTAAGATGCCGCTTTCACAGGCTGCTAATTTGATCAGATGTCCTGGTCTTGACTTTAAAAATCATCCTGGGGTAGGTGTTGTGGTCATCAGGTTAAGCTGCCACCTGAGATGCTGGCATCCCATAGTGGAGTGTGGGTTCCAGTCCCAGCCTACACTGCCTTCAATCCAGCTCCCTGCTGATGTGTCTGGGAAGGCAGTGGATGACAGCCCAAGTGCTTGGGCCCTTGTCTCCCACACGGGAGACCCAGATGCGATTCCTGGCTTCTGTCTGGCCAAACCCTGGCCGTTGCAGCTATTTGAAGAGTGAGCCAGTCTATGAAAGATGAATCTCTAGCTCTCTGCCACTCTGCCTTTCCAGTGGATGAAATAAATCTTAAAAAGGAGCAACATATTATTTATCAAGATTAAGTTTTGATTTCCTCATCCTTCCAGACCAAGTCCATCTGGTGTTACTGTGGATACTCTCTGATTGTTTTTTCTTTCTTTTTTTTTTTAAGATTTATTTATTTATTTTATTGGAAAGGCAGGTATACAGAGAGGAGAGACAGAGTGGAAGATCTTCCATCCGATGAGTCACTCCCTAAATGAGCACATCAGCTGGAGCTGAGCCAATCCAAAGCCAGGAGCCAGGAGCTCTTCCGGGTCTCCCACACGGGTGCAGGGTCCCAAAGCTTTGGGCCGTCCTCAACTGCTTTCCCAGGCCACAAGCAAGGAGCTGGAAGGGAAGTGGAGCTGCTGGCATTAGAACCAGCAACCATATGAGATCCTGGCACGTGCAAGGGGAGGACTTAACCACACGCTGTCGTGCTGGGGCCTCTCTGTTTTTGTTTGTTTGTTTTTTTTATTTAATTTTGACAATCCTTACAAATTTAATTGGGGTAAAAAAGGGTCAAGGTCTAAAGGGGGATATAGAGGAAGAAGCCCCACCCAATCTCCCGCCCACCCCAAGTCCCGGGAGTGGGGTGCGCTCCGAGATACTCGATCAAGTGGTTCCAATAGTTCACTATCCATGGGTCGTTGCCAGTCTCGCCACCCCAATCATGATGTGGTCATTGAAGAGTTCGTTGATTGACACAGTCCCGTCTAGGGTCTCCATTTGCCCAGTCTCTGCTGCCAACAGATGGCTGAGGTTGTTGCTTGATTTGTCGTTTGTTTGTTTTTTTAACCTCTGCAATATACAGAATTGTCACTTCAACAACTAACACTTTGAGGTATAGAAAAAGTTTTTCTTGGGTGCAACAGGTGTCATTGCTGTGCTAACCTCTCAAATTCTTGGGTATTTAACATTTTTCTTCATCTGTGTGAGCTCTTTTCAACACTTTTTTTTCTCTTTACAATTTCAGTTTATTTTGCCCTCCTCCCCGCATAATAAGTAAATAAATAAAGCTTCCTCAAGTAAGGCTTTATATACCTTTCCCACCATCCTGACCGTATTAACTGGAGTTGAAAGAGTTAAACGCTAATACTCTAAGGCATTCATTCTGTATAATTCCCATATGGGTTCAGGTCCCAGCTGCTCCACCTCCGATCCAGCTCCCTGCTAGATGACCTCCCTGAAGATGGCCTAAGTGTTTGAGGCCCTGCCACCCATGTGGGAGACCAGAACACAGCATCTGGTTGCTAGCCCAGCCAGGCTGTTGACGCCGTCTGCAGAATGAACCAGCACATAAGATTATCTTTCTCCCCACCCTCCACTGCTTTCATCCCCTTCTCTCTGTAACCCTGTCAAATAAATAAATCTCTTTTTGGAAAAAAAAAAAAATCAACCTTTTGTATTTACAATCAGAATTCTGCCTTCCTTAGGAGAAGTGAGAAAACAATAATTAGATAATCTCTGTATTCAGTGGTTCAGGTGAGGAACCTTAATAGAGAATCAGGTGATTTTTCCTAAATCATATGACCCTCAAAACGAACCTGCAAGATTTTATTCCATTTTTTATTCTAGAATCAACTTTAACCACTACCTGTTTTGTATCTCATTCCCTCCTCCGTCTGGTCTGTGGCGTTTTCTGATGTTTCTTATGAGAATGTGAGGCATACCTGAATCTTACCTGCAGTCCTCAGTGAACCAGAGCTGACTGTGCCCAGGTAGGATGTAACGAGACATTGCTGAGGCAGAACAGGTTCCTGCAGGCTTCCTCCTCTCACATTTTTATCTCTGGGAAAATGTGCTCAAAGCATGTTCCTCTGTCCTCACCTCTACGTGGTATATAGCTATAGGATCTTGAGAAGGGCAGGGTAAGTAAGAGGGGTTCCAAAGAATTTGTTCTAATTTTGAAAACTTAACAAACAACCATAGATTTTCTTCATTTAGCTACTTTACAACGGATCACATTTTAAAAACTGTATGTTTATTTGAAAGGCAGAGACAGCTGATGAGAGACAGGGCCCAGTGCAATGGCCTAGCAGGTAAAGTTTTTGCCTTGCGTCCGCTAGGATCCCATTTGGGTGCTGGTTCGGTCCCGGGTGCTGGTTCGGTCCCGGCTGCTGCACTTCCTGTCCAGCTCCCTGCTTGTGGCCTGGGAAAGTAGTTGAGGATAGCCCAAAGCCTTGGGATCCTGTACCTGTGTGGAGACCTGGAGAAAGTTTCTGGCCCCTAGCTTTGAATTGGCTTTGCTCCAGCTGTTACAACCAGTTGGGGTGTGAACCAGCAATGAAAGATCTTTCTATCTGATCTGTGTCTCCTTCTTTCTGTGTATCTGCCTTTCCAGTAAAAATAAATAAATCTTGGGGAAAAAAAAAGAGACAAAGATCTTTCATTTGCTGGTCCACTCCTCAAATGCCTATAGTAGCAGGGTTGGGCCAGGCTGACATTAGGAGCCCAGAATTCAGCGTGTCCCATACAGGTGGCAGGAACCCCAGTACTCCAGCTGTGTGCTGCCTCCGAGGGTGGGGGCGAAGGGAGGTGAGCCTGAAGCCCAGGTACTTTGCTATGGGACACAGGGATCCCAAGAGATGTCTTAACTGTGTCCTCCACCTCTGCTCCCCTCCCTGCTAGCCTTCTTTCCTTTCCTCTCCTTTCCTTCTTGGATGAAGTGATCCAGGCCGACTTTCAAGTCTCGTCATCTCTGAGGGAGGAGACCCTCTGTCCTTCAGTCTCCAGGGCTCCCTAAGAAGGCTGTCTGCCTGCGGGACACAGCTTTCTCTCACCTGCCATGCCTGCCCGCTTTCCCCTTTTCAGTTGCGCATGCAACTCCATTCCTAATCTTCAGGGTATGACTTAGCTCTTTCCACCCCTCCCTCTTTACTTTTTTTTTTCCTCCCTCAAAGCTTAATTGTTC